TCTTAGCAACCGTTCCATGTCTTCCTGTCACCTTCCGCACCATGATGATAATGGACTAAGCCTCCGAAGCTACAAGCCAGTCCCCAATTAAATTCTTTTTTTTAATATTTTTTATTTATTGTGTATACAGCCTTCTGCCTACAGGCCAGCAGAGAGCACCAGATCTCATTACAGATGGTTGTGAGCCACCATGTGGTTGCCGGGAATTGAACTCAGGACCTCTGGAAGAACAGCCAGTGCTCTTAGCCGCTGAGCCATCTCTCCAGCCCAAAATTCTTTCTTTCATAAGCGTTGGTCATGGTGTCTCTTCACAGCAACAGAACAGGCTAAGGTAGTGCCACTCCCTGGTGGCTAAGCATTCAAATATGTAAGCCCAAGGGGGCCGTTCTTACTCAGACCACCACAGTCGGCATGCCTGTCTTCCCCCATCCCGGGCAGTCGCCCCTACCAAAGAAGCTGCACCCTCAGTCTAGTTATCTTTTTGTTTTTTCATTTGAGACAGGATCACTTGTAGCCCAAAGTGAGCTCATTATGTAGCCGAGGATGACCTTGAACTCCTGATCCTCTTCTCTCCCCCCTACTGGAATCACTAATGTGTTCCACCAAATCTGGCTTAGCAACACTTTTTCAAGAACTTAAGACGTGTCTTTATGTGTTTATTTGGAGGCAGAATACACGCCACTGTGCTGTAAGGGCAGAGCACAACTTTTGGGAGTTGGTACTCACTCCACCATGTGGGGATCGAACCCAGGTCTTCAAGCTTGGTGGCAAAAGTCTTTAGCCACTGAGTCATTTCGCTGGGCCTTAACATTTTTACAAAGACCCATATAGCTTGAGCATAGTGGCGCACACCTTTAATCCCAGTACCCGGGAGGAAGAGGCAGAGGCAGGTGGATCTCTGTGAGTTCCAGGTCAGTCTGGTCTATATCCTGAGTTCCAGGACAGCTAGGGCTACACAGAGAAATCCTGTCTCCAAAAGCCAAATACAGGCCAGGCGTTGGTGGCACATGTCTTTAATCCCAGCACTCTGGAGGCAGAGGTATACAGACATGAGTTCAAGGCCAGCCTGGTCTATAGAGTAAATTCCAGGTCAGCCAGTACTACACAGTGAAACCCTGTCTCAAAAAAACCAATAAACAGCCAGGCGTTGGTGGCGCATGCCTTTAATCCCTGCACTCGGGAGGCAGAGGCAGGCGGATCTCTGTGAGTTCGAGGCCAGCCTGGGTTACAAAGCAAGTTCCAGGACAGCCTCCAAAGCAATACGGAGAAACCTGTCTCAAAAAACAAAAAAACCAATAAACAAATGAATTAATAAAATAATAAACTCTGGTTGTGGTTGGATGACTCTTGTAATTTGAGTCTCCATTTCTCCATCAGGAAAGCAGGCGCAGTTCTCTTAAGGTAAATTTTCCTTAGCGCCTGCCTGCCTTAGGAAGGTTTGTGATCCTCACCCAAACCACCTGTCTGAAACCCCCTTCGTCTGTTTTCTAGCCAGGGGGGGTCAGGCTGAAGACAGCTCAGAAGTAAACAGGGCGGCGGACCCCTGCAGGGCCCCGGTTTGGGTAGCAGAACCCTACATAGTAAACACCAGGCTGGGCAGAGTCTTGTCAGTTTCATCTCCGGTTTTTGATTCCCTGTACCACCCAAGTCTGGGCGTATCTAAAGAGTTGTCTGCAAACATCCCCAAAATAAACATCAACCAGAGGCCCAGGAGGAAAGGCTGCCATAGCTAAGTAACAAGATGAGACATGAAACCAGGAAAATAAATAAGGTGGGCAGGCCAGGCATTGGGGATGATCTGACCAAGCAATAGTAACTGCTGAGTTCTGCAGACCTGCCTTTCCTTATCCTGCTCTCAAAGGCTCTCGACTGAAGTGTCATGACCAAGGCTCAGACTCTGCCACATACAGGAGGCTCACCAACCCGCAACAACCTAGACACTAAAAATCACTGTCATGACTGTTTTTCCTTGTTTTGAGACACACACACACACACACACACACACACACTGCCTAATGCCTTGAAGACCGGCCTGGCGTCAAACTCAAGAGAGCCACCGGCCTCTGCCGCATATATAACGTCTCCCTGTGCAGTCCAAGCTGGATTAGAACTCACAACCCTCTGGCTTCAGTCTCCCCAACCATGCTCCCATTTCTGCTGGGTTATCCAGAGCCTGTTCTGAGCCCCTCAACAGAAGCCTTGCTCTCCCAAACAGCAGCCAGTGTTGTCTCTTTGGCCCGGGAGGTTGTCCCTGATTGAAACATTGGTGACAGCATTGTTCTGTGTGGAAAGCCAGTGTCTCATTGAGGTTCCCGTATCTCAGTGTGCACCTACACCAGGCAAAGCCTCACCCAGCTCCCGTGATTCTCTTGTTTGGAGATGGCGCCTCGCTCTGTAGGCCAGGCTGGCTTTAAACTCGCAGCAATCCTCCTGCCTCTGCTGGGATTACACCTCCTTGCTCATCTGTCTTGACATGGTTCCATATGGGGGTGAACTGAAGATTATTCAGGGCTTGGGTCCCGGCTATCCACTTATCTTTGACCAAACCCTCAGCCTCTCTGGAGCCTCTCTCTGCTCATCTCTACAATGGGACGGTGACGGCTGTGTTTCCGGCTTCCTGTGCTGGTCTTAATTGTAGCCCAAGACATTAAACCCAAAGCTTTCTGAGAACTAGGCTTGTGAACATGCTGCCCTGCTTAGCTACAGTGATTCAGCTCAGTGGGAGAGTGCTTACCTAGGGTTTGGTCCTTATCTGGGGGTGAGAGGTGGGGGTTGGAGAGCAGAAACAAAAAATCACACACACACGCACACACACACACATGCACGCACGCACGCACGCACGCACGCACACACACACCCCGCAGAGGTGTCAGTCCCAACCCTGCTATCTCCCCAGTTTGTGACCTTGGGTGTGCTCCCTCTGGTCTCTGAGCGTCCTATTCTCTGTGACAGGAAAGGAATAGAGCCCTCACCTCCTTGACTTTCAGTGGCCTTTGGAGAATCGGACACTTGTATAGCTCCAGGCTCCATGGGTCCTGGTTAGCACTTGTTTGGGTCCAGTTTTTCCATGCTGTGTGACTCAGGGCTGATGAATTTCCCTCTCTGAACCTCGGTTATTGATCTGTAATACAGGATCATAGCTGCGCTCCCCTCCTGGACTTGTGAGGGTTAGATCAGACTGTTGAGTAATTGTGTCGCAGGCTGTGCCTCACATTCGGGGCTATTGAGACTAAGGAGAAACGCAAGACGGCCCAGAGGATAGGGACACTTGTCTCCAAGCCTGACAACCTGAGTTCAATCCTCAGGAGCCACGTGGTGGAAAGAGAGAACTGACTTCCAAAAGCTGCCCTCTGACCCACAGCCAACACACCCAGAAACACAACACAGGGTTTCTTTCTTTCTTTCCTTCTTTGTTTTCCAGACAGGGTCTCTCTGTATTGTTTTGGAGGCTGTCCTGGAACTCGCTCTGTAGACCAGGCTGGCCTGGAACTCACAGAGATCCGCCAAGACAGGGTTTCTTTATGTAACAGTCCTGGCTGTCCTGGAACTCACTTAGATCCACCTAACCTCTGCCTCCCAAGTGCTGGGATTTAAGAAGGTGTGTGCCACCACTGCTCGGCTCCAATTTTTTTAAATGTGTGCACGAGCGTGTGTATACATGTATGTATGAGTGTGCATGTGTGTATGTGTGTGCATGTGTGTATGTGTGTGCATGTGCCTCCTTGGTTTTTATATACCACATATATGCAAGTGACCAGAGAGGCCAGAAGAGGGTATTGGATCCCCTGGAGTGGGAGTTACAGGCAGTTGTGAGCTGCCCAATGTGGGTGCTGGGAGCCCAACTTGTCCTTTGTAAAAGCACTAAATGCTCTCCCAACAGCTCAGTCATTTCTCCAGCCTCCTTCAATTTTTTTTTTCGTTTTGGCTTTTCGAGACAGGGTTTCTCTGTGGCTTTGGAGGCTGTCCTGGAACTCGCTCTTGTAGACACATATACAAACACACATATGTAACTAACAACCATAAGCAACACACACACACACACGTTGAAAGAAAAAGCATACTAGGTCTCGAACTCACAGAGATCCGCCTGCCTCTGCCTCCCGAGTGCTGGGATTAAAGGCGTGCGTCACCAACGCCCGGCTCTAACTCGGTTTCAAAACCAAACCAAATACAAACGATACCAGTCATCAACAAAAACCCACATGGGCCAGTGCCAATGGTTCAGCTTCACCTATTCCAAGCTTGATGACCTGAGTTTGGTCCTGGAATCCAGTTGGTGGAAGGAGCTGTCTCCCGCAAGTTGTCCTCCCATCTCCATATGTAAGCTGTGGCATGCCCCCCCCACTATTAAGCAAAACAGGTAATAAAAAAATTAAACTGGACATGGTGGTACATGTCTTTAGTCCTAGAACCTGAGGAGGTAGATTCTGAATTCGAGGTCAGCCTGGTCTACATAGCAAGTTCCAGGACAACCAAAGATGCATAGTGAGACTCCAAAAAACAAAACCAAAGCCAAAAAATATATTTAAAAAAAAGGTAAGCCTTTAATCCCAGCACTCGGGAGGCAGAGGCAGGTGGATTTCTGTGAGTTCAAGGCCAGCTTGGTCTACAAATCGAGTTCCAGGACAGCCTCCAAAACAATACAGACAAACCCTGTATCAAAAAGCCAAAAAACAAAAAACAAAAAAAACGTAAGTCAAATCATAAGGTTCTGGATGATTCCGAGGGAAGGAAGGAGGGAAGAAGGAAGCAAGAATGAGCAACAGACATAAGCAAAGCCCTAAACTAAACAGGAGGGAAACTGAGGCCCACAGACTACCTACAAGGTCCTTTCCAGAAAACACAGAGTGCCTTGGAGGAGGGGCAGCCTGGAAATGTGCAGCTTCCAGTCTCCCTGGGAGACTGGAGCTAGCCAGGAGCCCTGGGCTGGAAGTGGCCCTTTAAATCTAAGCCCCACCTTTGCTGAGAGTGGGCTCTAGGGGAGTATTTAAAAGGGGGTGTGCCTCCTCTCTACTCCACAAACAGTCTGCTTGCTCCTGCCCTCCAACCTCACAGTCCCCGACCCCCCAGTCCCTGCCCAGTCCCCACAGCCACCAGCCACACAGAGGTGTCATGGACCTACCTCCCTTTGACATGTGGAAGGACTACTTTAACCTGAGCCGGGTGATACTGACAATAATCCAGGGCCGCAGCCACAGACTGGAGGATGGAGGCGCTGAGGCGTCTGCCCTCAGGAAGGAGAAGAGCGAGCTGGGGGTCTGCGGGAGCCTGGCCACCCTATGCAACTTCTGCAAACACAACGGAGAGTCTCGTCACGTCTATGCCTCGCACCAGCTGAAGACATCCGAAGGTGTGGTGGTGTGCCCCATCCTGAGGCACTACGTGTGTCCCCTGTGCGGGGCCACCGGGGACCAGGCTCACACGCTCAAGTACTGTCCACTAAACAGCAACCAGCAGTCTCTCTACCGTCGTGGTGGACGAAACTCCGCCGGACGCAAAGTCAAGCGTTAAGTAAGATCCATGAGGTCCCTGTCACCCACACTCCCAACCCCTCCTTACTTTGACCCTCCCCTCTGCTCACCCAGCCCTATGGGGGTTCCTAGATCCCACCGTTCTCTGAATCTTCAGGATCCTGAAACATTGGGGGTTGCTGGCAGCCCGGTCCACCTGTCTCAGAGATTCCTGACACTGAGAGCTGTTCTCCATGGACGGTGCATCTTGGTGGCTTCTTTTGGATTGTGACGTCCTGCTGATGGCACTAACCTAGCCTCGTTGACTTCTCAGATCCCCGGCAAAGATCCCTTGGGGGAACCCCCGGACTCTCCACCCTACAGAATCCCAGCGTGCCAGTCTTCAGAGTCCTGGGACAGTGCCAGAGACTGACCGGGACCATCACTACTAAGAACTTGACGTTCGTACCGACTGTGAGGTTGTCTGTCTTCATCTTCTTCAGCATCCACAGACTCGGCTTTCTCCATGGGACCATTCAAGCTCAGCGCTCAGTTCCTTGAACACGCCGGCCCAGCAGGAGCTGGAAGAGGGTCAGGACCCTCTTGGAAGGCGGCAGGGCCTTTGTGGCTTCAGGCTGCCTCGAGTGAGCTGAAGCCCACAGCTCCCCCTTCTTCACTACCATCCCAACTCACTTCCTCCCGCCCCAACCCCAATCATTGATGTATCCTCCCCCCAACGAGACATGTGTCTCTGCACCCCCAGTCCTGTTACTTGAGTGTTTTGCTAAATCAGTGTGAGTCCCACAGTCAAAAGAGTCTGATACCCAATAGGAACATGGTGACTGCTTAGATTTGAATTTTAGGGTCAAAGGACAACTCGCGGTAGGATTTTTAAGTTATTTAGGAGTTGGGTTTGGAGACGGGGTGCCGACGTACGGGTGGATGGGTGGAGCTCCCGTGAATAAAGAGTTTTAAGAGTTAGGTTTGAGATGCTGGCGTCTACAGTCTTTGTTGGTTGGCCCGCTTGGTGGGCTGTGCCTTTGGGTACGGGGGAGATAGGTGAAGGAAGACACTGCGCGCTGCATTCGCCTGAAACCTTGGGAACTCAGGAGGCACAGGAAAGGACCCAGAGCTGCCCCCTAGGTCCTCCAACACGGCTTGTCTGACTGGGACAGGTTCCCAAATACTTCTCAGCGTCCATCTAGACAGTGATTTCTTTTTCTTTGTTTTTAAAAACCTGTGGGGAGCTGGGTGGTGGTGGCACTCACAGACCTTGATCCCAGCACTCAGGAGGCAGAGGCAGGCGGATCTCTGTGAGTTTGAGGCCAGCCTGGTCTACAGAGCGAGTTCCAGGACAGCCAGGGCTACACAGAGAAACCCTGTCTCAAAAAAAGAAGCAAACTGGAAAGGCCAGGCAATAGTGATGCCTGCCTTTAATCCCAGCACTCAGGAGGCAGGAGCAGGTGGATCTCTGAGTTCCAGATCAGCCTGGTCTACAGAGCGAGTTCCAGGACAGCCAGGGCTATGTAGATAAGACCCTGTCTCAAACAAAACAAAAAAGAATCAGGGGGGCTGGAGAGATGGCTCAGAGGTTAAGAGCGCTGACTGCTCTTCCAGAGGTCCTGAGTTCAATTCCCAGCAACCTCGTGGTGGCTCACAACCATCTGTAATAATGCCCTCTTCTGGCCTGCATGGATACAGACAGAACACTGTATACATAACAAATAAATAAATCTTAAAAAAAAAGAATCTGCAGAGGGTGAGGACAGGGGTTACAACATCTAAGTGGTAGTAGTTAGATGATAATTCAAGGGAATTCACTCTCTCCTGCAGTGTGGGTCCTGGGGACTGAACTCAGGTCTCAAGCTTAGTGGCAAGTACCTTCTAACCACTGGGCAATCTCACCAGTCTGCTAACAGTTTTTCCTTCTGTTTTCTCTCTCCTGTTACCTGGAGATTGAATTTAGGAATCTACAGCTCTTGCCTTATTAGAACAGGGACCGCCAAGTCTGACTTTTGATAGATTTTAAACTTTGGGCTCCCGAATCCCATCACAAAACTTTTTTAAAAAGCATAAAGTAGGCCGGCGTTGGTGGCGCACGCCTTGAATCCCAGCACTCGGGAGGCAGAGGCAGGCGGATCTGTGTGAGTTCGAGACCAGCCTGGTCTACAGAGCGAGTTCCAGGACAGCCTCCAAAGCCACAGAGAAACCCTGTCTCGAAAAGCAACAACAACAACAAAAAGTATAAAGTAGCCACGTGGTCTTAACACAAGCCTTTAATTCCGGCCCTCGGAAGGCAAAGAGAGACGGATCTCACCTGTGAGTTCAAGGCCAGGCTGATGTAGTTAGCAAGTTTCAGGGCAGCCAGGGTTATTACACTGAGAAAACATGCCTCTAAAGACCAATACACGCGCACGCGCGCGCACACACACACACCAGAAGAGGGCATCAGATCCGTTGGTACCGGAGCTAAGGATGGTTATGACCCCCTCATTTGGGTACAGAAACCCAAACTCCAGTCCTCATGCGAGAGCTCTTAACTGCTAAGCTATCTCTGCAGCCCCTCCCCCGCCGCCTTTTCCTTAAGTGTGGTGGCGGCGCATACCTTGTCTTCCTAAGTATTCTAGAGGCTGCAGCGAGAGTATTACTGCAAGTTCAATGCCAGCCTGGGATACTTAGTGAGACGCCCTCAAAAACAGTTTTTGCAAGTGAACACCAAGAGGGAACAGAGTTCTGTCTTTCATACGGATAGCACCTTGAGCTATGTGGGCGCCCATAAATAACTGTCGGATAAATGAAGCACCGTTTACTCAATGACCTTGCAACTGCAGGCACTGAAAAAAAAAATCTTCACAAAGCTAAACTCTGTCATCCAGCCATTCAATTCATACAACTGGTGCTCTTGATTCATTCCTGCTCGGCGCTTTTGATTAAAATGGGCCATAGCCAGGATCGCCGTCCGCGCCCTCCAAGAAACTCCAGCCTTTCAACTCCCTTGCCGAGCGGTGACGTCAAAACGTGAACAGAGGGCCTCCCAGGCGTGATTGGGAGGTTGCTGGGTTGCTATAGTTACCACCTCCGCATGGGCGGGGAGTATCTCCAGGGTGCCCCGCCTCAATCCGTAGGCGGTAGTTCCCGAGCGAGCCAACGCTGGGGCGTGATTGGGCGTGGGCAAGGTTTCCTAACGCCCCCCATCGCCACCCACGCAGTTGTCATGGAAACTAAACTCTACTCCCTCCCCACCGCTCCCTCTTGTTTCTCTAACAAAAAAAAAGACTTTCTGCTTAACGGAAAGAGTAGGCTAGCGGACTCCCCCAAAAGAAAAACCTCTATTCTAGAGCTCTCTGCAGCATCTTTCCTTCCTCAGCTGCACCCGCACTTGGATTTAGTCCTGGGTACCCCCTCCGGGCAAGGTGCCAGCGACACGCATGCGGGCTATAGGTCTGCACATGCGCAATTGCGCAGGAGATGCCCAGGGAAACTGGCGCAATGCTAAGTGTGCGGCTGCGCAGCCGCGTCCTGCTGGAGAGGCAGAGCGATGAGCAGTTCTGCGCTTGCGCCATGCGGAGACGCTAGGCGCAGAGAACGCTGCCCTGGCTCTCGGGGCGTCTGGAGACAGCGTTCGCCCAGCGCGCATGCGCCACGGCTCTTGATGCTACTGGGGGCGGGGCCCAGAGGGGGAGGGAGAGGCGGGGGGGAGGGAAGAGGCTGCAGAAGCCGAAGCCCTGACCCACCGGCAGGCAGGGGCTGCGGCGGCGCGGGTGAGTGACCCACGGCCCAACTGGGTCCCCATCGCCTGCGCTCCATCGCTCTTCCTGGAGTCCCAGAGAGCTTCGGGGACTCCCTCCTCTTGTCTAGGACCCCCGTCACCCCCAGAGCTCCCCTTCCAGGCGTTCCCAGCACCCCCACAATCCCTGCAGACCCTCAGCCTTAATATTTCACCATTTTGCTTAGAGGCTCCCATCTCACCTCTATTCCTGAACGTTGCCTCTCAGGGACCCTAAAGCAGACCCCCCCCACACACACTGCCCTGGGAGCCCCCTAGCGCTCCCCTCCGACCTGGGTGCCCCCTTTCTGCTGCATTGCCCGGTTGGCATCACTTCAAAGTGTTCGACCCCCGGGGCATCCCTTTCCTGTTCCCTTGCGCCCCCGTTCTCCTCTGAGTCCTGCAGCGAACACCCTTCTCCCTTCCACTTTTGCTCATTTCCCTCCATCCTTCCAGACTGTCCGCCAGTACCCATCAACTCCTCCGTGAGGCTTTCGGCGGCCGTGAGAAACACAAGATGGGCACTGGGCGGGTGTCACCTACGAGCAAGCACCTGTGATTGCTCTCAGCAGCTCGCCGCTCCCACCGCGACTTTTTTTGCACAGGGGACCGGAGGAGCCCGTGTCGGGGCGACACGGGGACACCGAGCCCCCGCCAGCGCTGTTCACCCTTTGCCCGCAGAGCCGGCGCCCCCCATGCGCCAGGCAGCCGATCGGTGGCGTCTGGGGGCACCATGGCCTCGGCGACCGCGGCAGCGGCTCCGGGCGAAGCGGAGGAGACCACCCGGCTCCGCAAACCGCGGTTCTCCTTCGAGGAGAACCAGATCCTGATCCGAGAGGTGCGTGCCCACTACCCTCAGCTCTACGGCTCGCAGAACCGTCGGGTGAGCGTGGCCGAGCGGCGGCGAGTGTGGGACAGCATCGCCAGTAAGATCAATGGCATCACCAGCTGGAAGCGCACGGGCCAGGAGGTTCAAAAGCGTTGGAACGACTTCAAGCGCCGCACCAAGGAGAAGCTGGCCCGAGTGCCGCACTCCACGCAGGGCGCGGGGCCCGCCGCCGAGGACACCTTCTCCACGGAGGAGGAGACTATTTTCGCCATCCTGGGGCCGGGTGTGGCGGGGCCCGGAGCTGGCGCCGGGGCTGAGGAATGCCCGGCAGCCGCCTCTTCACAGCCGCAAGCTCCGTCCGCGGGGACACAACGGTGTGTTTTGTCGGAGGACCGAAGGCAGGATCGACGGGCAGGTGAGTCCCAAAGCCACTCCTTTAACAACTGCAAACTCTTCTAAAGCCCACTGTATGCAGTTCACGCCCAGATCCTTGGGGCGTGTTTATCACATTCTCTTAAAAACTGCGGGAGGTGGGTGTTGTCACCCGCGTTTTAGAGCTGGAGCGATAAGGTCAGAGAAAGGATATGATTTAGACTTGGTCCAGGCAGTGGGCCTGTAATTCTAGCACTCCGGAGGCAAGGTAAGAGAAAAAGGAATTCAAGGTTAGCCTGTGCCTCAGGAGACTCCGCTCAAAAGAAGGGTGAGGAGGGGCGGTCTGCGGGTGCCCAGTTGGTAGTGCCTTCCTAGCTTGCAGGGCTTCTGGGTCGGATCCCCCGGCACTGCATAGATCCGTGTGGTGGCTCCTGACTGTAATTCCAATACCTTGAAGTTGGTGACAGAAGACCAAGGTTGTCTTTGGGTGTGTAGGGAGTTAAAGGCAAATCTGAGCAGCGTGAGACCTCCCCCCCCCCCCCATCTCTCCAAAAATAATAATGATTTGAAAGACAGAGTAAAGAAAATGGCTTGTCTCGGATGTCTGGACAGCCACTCGGTAATTGTCAGAGGTAGGCATGGAAGCCACCCTAGGAGGTCTGTATCTGGGACTTGTCATCAGCCGCCAGGCAGGGTTTCAGTAGGTGGGGCCAGCCTCTCCTCCCAGTTCCCTTGGAGGCTGAGACAGGAGGATCCGGGGACCTCAGTGCCTGCAGCGTGAATTCATTAACAGTCTGGGAATCTTTCGGAGACCCTGCAGCAAAATCAAAAGCAGAAAGAGGGCAGGTTACTGCTGGAGTGCTTGGCCGGCATGCACGGGGCTCCAGAGTTCATTTCCAGCCGGGAGAATAAATGGAGGGAGAGATGGGGGTGGGGGGGGGGCGGTAAGTGGGAATCTGTCCTGGGTGCTGCCTAGAGGCAGAGTCCAGGCTGAGTGTTAATCACAGTGTTGTCACTTGAATGTGTCACTTCTGCCGGTGAAGAGTAAGTTCCCCCCTCTGAGGGTTTCTGTGAGAATTTAGTGTGGCAAAGCAGACGGATTGCTTGCTGTGGTGTCTCCGGGGGGCGTGGCCAGCTTGTGATGTAACGGTCAACAGTTGGAGGGGTCCGTACTGTAAGCCCAAGACTTGGAGAAGTGTGGTGACTTCCTCAAGGTCAAGTTGGAAGAGCTGTCCTGGGGACTGTCCCTGCTGCTGGAATCCTGTTCAGCCTTCACGCTGGACTATCTTTTTTCTCTCTCTTTCCACCTCGGGGTCGCAGGATTGAAGTCAAGCTGTCGGGTTTTGCACAGCAGGCGTCACCTCCCTGGCCCCCTCCGCTAGGTATTCATAGGATGAGTTCAGAGAGGTTCCTTTCTCTACCTGAAGTCACACAAGCAAGTAAAGACTGGGATGTGGCCGGGCGTTGGTGGCGCACGCCTTTAATCCCAGCACTCGGGAGGCAGAGGCAGGCGGATCTCTGTGAGTTCGAGACCAGCCTGGACTACCAAGTGAGTTCCAGGACAGGCTCCAAAGCCACAGAGAAACCCTGTCTTGAAAAAAAAACCAAAAAAAAAAAAAAAAGACTGGGATGTTTGACGGTATCTATGCCCGACTGCTTGTCGTGGGTAGCACAGGAGGCTTGTACGTCAAGGTCAGGACTTGTGACTCAGGTAGAGGGGACGTGGGAGCCGGGAAACCGCCAGCTCTTCCTGGGAAGTGGTCCCACCAGACCAGACGGTGACACCAAGTTTATGTGCGTTCGTGTGCTGTGTGCATGTGTGTAGGGATGCATGTATGCACGCGCATGGAGAAACCCAAAGTTGATGGCGGAGTTGTCACCCCTTTTCACTGTTGTCTGTGCGTCAGGGTCACTCAGTCAAGCCCAGAGCTCACTAATGGGGCTAGCCCAGCAGCCAGCTTGCCGTGGAGGTTTTCCCTCTGTCTGCCTTCCAACCCTGGAATTGCAGGCTTGTTACCGTGCCTGCCCTTCATGTGGACTCCAGGGCTCTGGGCTCTGGTCCTCACGTTTCCGAGGGATCACCTCATGAACTCCCCTAGTTTTTTAAAAAAGTTGTTGGAAGCCGGGCGTTGGTGGCGCACGCCTTTAATCCCAGCACTCGGGAGGCAGAGGCAGGCGGATCTCTGTGAGTTCGAGACCAGCCTGGTCTACAAAGTGAGTTCCAGGACAGCCTCCAAAGCCACAGAGAAACCCTGTCTCGAAAAACCAAAAAAAAAAAAAAAAAAAAAAAAAAAAAAGTTGTTGGAAGTCACTTCATTTGTTTTTAAATACCCGATAAATGTGCCTAAGCCTGCTTCTTGGGTCGATGCTGAGTGCATACATTAGAGGACAAGACAAATTCTTCTCCCTTCCGGAACTGGTGTAGTTGGGGGAAACGTGCCACAAACAGTCACTTAATGCCACCACATATTAATTATCCACTATCAACAAGAGAATGAAAGCAGACAGTGGTGGCGCACGCCTTTAATCCCAGCACACAGGAGGCAGAGACAGGCGGATCTCTGTGAGTTCAAAGCCAGACTGGTCTACAGAGTGAGTTCCAGGACAGCCTCCAAAGCTACAGAGAAACCCTGCCTCGAAAAACAAACAAACGAACACATAAGAGAAATGAAGTCTGTTGAGAGGATATCAAGCCAGGCAATGGCGGCTCACCCTGAAATCCCAGCACTTGGGAGTCTTTGTTTTGAGGCTAGCCTGGGCTGCATAGAGAGACTCTATGCCAAAATTACTTAGAGTGATAAAGTCAGGGAGGGCTTCCTGGAGGTGATGAGACCAACCAGAATTTTGAATTTACATATGTGTCTCCCAGTATTCAGTGGGTATCTGAGGGAAGAGGCTTTCTGCTTAACTAACTTTTTTTAAGTTTTAAAAAAATTTTTATTATGTATGCATATAGTGTTCTATGCTTGGACACCAGAAGAGGGCACTAGATGATCTCATTACAGATGGTTGTGAGCCATCATGTGGTTGCTGGGAATTGAACTCAGGTCCTCTGGAAGAGCAGCCAGTGCTCTTAACCTCTGAGCCATCTCTCAGCCCCTTAACTAACTTTTATTTGTTTGTTTTGCACAGATTCTTTCTGGGTAGCCTTGGCTGTCCTGGAACTTGCTTAGATCAGGCTGGCCCTGAACTCACAGAGATCGGAGTGCCTCTGTTCCCCAAGTGTTGGGATTAAAAGTGTGCGCCACAGCACCCAGCCTGACTAGCCTCTTCCTACTGTGTGAAAGCTACAGATCGGAAGTCTATAAAGAAGAGGGGGGTCGGACACTGAGCATCTGCATGTTTGCTGGCACTGGAAACTGAGCTGGGCAATCACACGTCTCTGACGTAGTATTTGAAGGAGAGCCTGGTGGTGGCCACACACACCCTTGTAAATCCCAGCACTCGGGAGGCAGAGGCAGGTGGATCTCTGTGAGTTCGAGGCCAGCCTGCTCTACAGAGCTAGTTCCAGGACAGCCAGGGCTACACAGACACACCCTGTTTTGGAAAACAACAACAAAAGACACCCCCCCCCAAAAAAAGAAAGGAGGGCCTGAGAAGTGGCTTAGTGGTTAAAGGTGCTTGCCACCAAGCCTGACAACCTGAGTTCAATCCCTGGGACTGACATGGTAGACAGAGAGACGCGTTGTCTTGTGACTTCTACATGCACAACATGGCATGTGTGCCTGAACCCCCATAAACACAAACAAATGGGTAAATATGCAATAATTTAAAAAAAACAACAACATGGAAAAGAGGGCTGGGCCAACAGCTCAGTGGTAAAGCCCTTGCCTAGAATTCCCCAGTGAGGGGCTGGGGTGTGGTTTAGTGGTAAAGTCCCTGCCTAGAATCCCCCAGTGAGGGGCTGGTGAGTGGTTCAGTGGTAGAGCCCCTGCCTAGAATTCCCCAGTGAGGGGCTGGGGTGTGGTTCAGTGGTAGAGCCCCTGCCTAGAATCCCCCAGTGAGGGGCTGGGGTTGTGGCTCAATGTTAGAGCCCCTGCCTAGAATCCCCCAGTGAGGGGCTGGGGGCCATGGCTCAGTGGTAGAGCCCCTGCCTAGTTGTGCAAGGCCTGGAATCCCATCCCTGGGCTGGAAAAACAGCAGCTAGCACAATGAAGCCCTTGGCTGGTGAAGCTCACCTAGAATGATTAGACAGACAACAAACATGGATTCCATGCCCAGGGGAAATGAGTGCTCAAAGAGATCACTTAGGGCTAAATGCAGAGCCAGGAAAGGACTAGCAGCCACTTTAGATAACAGCCTAGAGATGTCTCCTGGAGGAGATAACACTAGAGCCTGCAGGCCTGGAAGCCACCTCGATGGTTGCCCTAGGGCCCTAGGCAGCCGCTGATTCCCTGTCTGCATCTGTAGATGAGTACGTGGTAGACATTGCATGTACGCTGGGACACGGACGCCTTCCTGGAGCCCAGCTATGTTTGGTGGTACCCCACAAGGCTGATGGCAGAGAAGGGACTGGGGGGGTGTTGGATGAGGGCAGGGAGCCCAATAGGGAGACGATGCTGGCCGGGCGTTGGTGGCGCACGCCTTTAATCCCAGCACTTGGGAGACAGAGGCAGGCAGATCTCTGTGAGTTCGAGGCCAGCCTGGTCTACAAGAGCTAGTTCCAGGACAGCCTCCAAAGCCACAGAGAAACCCTGTCTCGAAAAACCACAAAAAAAAAAAAAAAAAAAAAAGGAGACGATGCTGGTCAGACAAGGCCACAGCTGTAGCCTCGGAAGAGTCTAGATTGGGCGTTGGGTTTAGTCAGGTTTACGTGGAATGGCGTCTGCACGGGGATAGTGTCTTGAGGAGAAAGAGCCAGGTGTGGAGGTGCGGCCTGCGATCTCAGCTGCTGAAGGAGGCTGATAGTTCGAGGCCAGCCTGGACGAGTCAGCAGAACCTTGTCTCATCGAGCAGAGGCGCTGGAGAGCGGGGCTAGGTAAGATGTCTGCCATTGACAGAGGTCACAAGCTCCGGGCCCAGCATCCATACCAGCAGGTCACAACCACGGGAACGTCAGCCTCAGGGCGTCTGCCCTCACCTGCACGCACCCACGCAGTCACACACGCATACACGGAATTACACGTCAAAAGCCTTGGCTGCAGGGAGGAGTGATGAGCAAAGGGGTCAAGACTGGGCTGGTGAAACCCACAGAAACAGCTGACCTGAACAAGGGGGAGCTCACAGACCCCAGACTGATGGCTGAGAGGCCAGCATGGGACTGATCCAGACCCCCTGAATGTGGGTGTCAGTGAGCAGGCCTAGGCAATCTATGGGGTTTTGGGTAGTAGATCGGTATTTATCCCTGGCACACAAGTGGGCTTTGGGAGCCCATCCCACATTGAGGGATGCTCTCTCAGCCTGGACTCTTGGGGGAGGGCCCGGGCCCTCCTCGGAACGAAATGACAGACTCTAGAGATCCCCAATGGAGGGCCTCACCCTACCTGGGGAATGGAGTGGGGATTGGGTGGGGGGCTGGGGGGAACGGGTGAGGAGGGGAGAGAGTGGGAGTGGGAGCTGGGACTAATTTAAATATATAATTAAAAAGTTAAAAAAAAACCTTAGCTGGGTGGTGGTGGCGCACGCCTTTATTCCCAGCACTCGGGAGGCAGTAGCAGGAGGATCTCTGTGAGTTCCAAGAGAGCATGGTCTACAGAGCGAGTTCAAGGAAAGCCAGGGCAGTTACATGGAGAAACCTTGTCTCAAAAAACCAAGAATACATAAAAAGTAAATTAAAAATCTTTTTTAAAAAATTGGGTTGAGCCAGGCAGTGGTGGGACACGCCTTTTTAAATCCCAGCACTCAGGAGGTAGAGGCAGGCAGATCTCTGAGTTTGAACTGCCAGCGTGATCTACAAAGCTACACAGAGAGACCCTGCGGGGGCGGGGGAGGGGAGGAGCAGTGCTGGAGAATGAACACAGGTGGTAATATGCTTGCTGCAGAAGTGTGAAGTTCTGAGTTCCGTCCCCAGAACCCAGGCTCATGTAAACAGATGTAGTTTACATTAGTGAAATCCCAGCACGGGAGAGGTGGAGTCAGGAGGACCCTGGGGGCCATGTTGGCCAGCCAGCCAAACCAAATCAGTGAACTCCTGGACCCGGAGAGGCTCGGTTTCAAAAACAGTTTGGATAGTCCATGTGCACATGCGCGCACCTACCTACCCCCTTACACATACATACACATGCGCACGTACACACAGAGACTATCGCTACTAAAAGGTGGCTGGTGTATGTAATTTAATGGTAGAGCACATACCTTACTTGCATGAAACTGTGGTCCAACTCCAGGAGAGGAAGAGCGGAATGGGGGAATGAAGGAGTGATTTTTGCCCCAGCCGCTGGAGAAACACGGAGCTCCTGTCTCTAACGAGACTTCGGTGAATGAGGAAGACATGTATATATAGGGTGGCGGGGATCGGGAGCTCGTGTCAGTAGCGAGTTTGGAATGTCATTAGACAGTGCACACACTGAGAGCATTGCCCCCTGGAGACACCAGAGAGGCCAAGGCTCCATCCAGCTCAGGGAAGAGGGGTTCAGGGCACCCAGGATCATAGTCCTCTTGGCAGACTGTTCAAGTCCAGGAGTGTGAATCAAGTCCCAGGTGAATATGTGTTGGGATGCCCAGGTGGGGACAGAAATCCTGTCCCTGCTGTGGTAGCTGGGGATTGTTTCCAGAAGCATGGGCGGTGTATCAGCCCTTATCTTTCCAGAGACTCCAGCTGAGAGGAGCAGGGGTGAATGTCCAGATGATTCTGAGCTTTGGGACAGCAAGACTTCTGTCCTCTGAAGCTGGTTGCCAGATTTAATGCATTGACCCCTCTGCATTCAGAGACTGGTGTCATGGGGCTCTGGCCTCTCACATGCTCTTACCTGGGTGGTCTTACTACCGTATTTCTGGGGCCTCCAGAATACAAATATTTCAAGCAAGAGCCTCAATAGCTGTCCAGCTTTTGGCATGTGTGCCTGTGTTCGTGTGTGTGTGTGTGTGTGTGTGTGTGTGTGTGTGTGTGTGTGTGTGTGTGTGTGTTTCTGAGGTGGGTGAGGTCTTGGGTGTTTTGTTGGTGATATTTATTTATTTTTATTTATGTTTTTTTTTTAAACAGGGTTTCTCTGTGTAGTGTTGGAGCCTGTCCTGGCACACACTCTGTAGACCAGGCTGGCCTGGAACTCACAGAGATCCACCTGCCTCAGCTTTCAGAGAGCTGGGATTTAAAAAGGCATGCACCACTGCCGCCAGGCTGTTGCTTTTTTTTTTTTTTTTTTTTTTTTTTTTTTTTTGTTTTTGTTTTCCGAGACAGGGTTTCTCAGTATTGTTTTGGAGGCTGTCCTGGAACTCGTTCTGTAGACCAAGCTGGCCTCGAACTCACAGAGATCCGCCTGCCTCTGCCTCCCGAGTGCTGGGATTAAAGGCATGCGCCACCAACCCCCGGCTGGGTTGTTGCTTTTTAAAGGGTGGATGTGGTCTACTATCATCCAAGCTGGGCTTAAACTGAGTCTGTAATGGATGCAGGCCTTCGAAGACCTTCTCAGTCCCCTCCCTGCTTTGGATTCCTAGTACTGGGATTTAGTCTAAAAGGCAAAGGCAAAACAGTTGTGTGTAATACCTGCACTTAGAAGTTGAAGCAAGAGGGTCGGGAGCACCGGACGCACGGAGAGCCCGTGTTTCATCGTAGGAGGAAGGGATTGAGAACCAGGAAGCTAAAACGGGAAATGAAGCCTCACAGGCTCATTATAACTTAACCCAAGGCCTCTCTCTTTACAGATACCCCAGCCCAGAGCAAAGGGGGCTCCAGCAGCCCGGAGTCCTGTTCCCGGCCCTCTTGCAATCCCCCGGAAGCCAAGGAGCGTGAGTCCCCATCCCCTGCAGCCATGCAGCCTGTCCAGCTGCCCCGCCTGGCCTTGACTCCACCGCTACCTGCCCCTCCACCTCCACCCACGCCGCTGGCGCAAGTGGCACCCTCACCCCCTAGCCCGCCTCCTCGGCCCGCCTTAGCCCCAGAACAATCCCTGGACTTTCTGCGGGCTCAGCAGGAGACTGCCAATGCCATCAGAGAGCTGGCTGGCACCCTTCGGCAGGGTCTGGCGAAACTGAGCGAGGCCCTCAGCGCCCTGTTACCCCTTCTGCCGGGAACCCCGGCTGACCTGCTGCCTCCGCCCCCACCGCCATCTCTGCCCCCACCTCCCAAGCCAGTCCTGCCCCCACCCGCCCCCAAGGTGGAGATGGCCCCAGAGCCTGTGTCCGTGGTAGCCGCTGTCGTGGATGGGGCGGTGGTGGCAGCCAGAGGGGTGATCATCTCCCCTAGGAGCGAGGAAGGGGTGCCCAAACCGCCCCCAGCCCCACCCCTTCCCCTCCACGACTCGCCACCACACAAAAGGAAGAAAGGCTTCCCCACACGGAAGAGGCGAGGCCGCTGGAAGTCTCCGTGAAATCTGCTCCCGTCCGCGCTCCTGCCTGCAAACCCCCTCCCTGCTTGGCGCAGTCGAGGAGGAAGATGCTGTTCGCCCACCCTCGCTGCGCCCTGGCTTCCTGCTCTAGGGAAGTGAGCACCCCACTTCCTGTGCTAGTTAGTGCCTGATTCTCTGGGTGGGACACCCTCAGCCCCGTTCTCTGGTACAGTGGTTGTCTGCCTGACTGCCTCCTGTAACCCCAACTTGTAAGCCATCAATTTTACGTTGTTATATTGCCCCTCGTGGGGTGGGACGGGGGACCTCCTGGCTCTGTGACTGCCCCTTTGCCTAACAGTTGCTGTCCTTGAAGAGAAGCAACGCGTGGGGGCTTCCCTACTCTACCCCAGCCCAGACTTCGGAAGGGTTGGGCGTTTGCTAGACAAATAAGAATGTAGAGGCAGAGGACTTTAGGGACAGGGAGGTGGGATTCGGACTGAGGAGGTTTAGGCGGGGTCCTCTGCCTCCGGTTGCTGCGTGGCATGTCTGACCTCCGGAGCTCGGCCCCCCCCTTCTCCTCAGTGCTGACAAGATGTCAATAAACTTATTTTCGTACAATTAACTTGAGGCTCTGAGACAGGCCTTGGAAGTACTGCATTTAGGGCTGCTCCACCCATCCCCTGGTAGGTCACACCCTCCCAGAGGCCACACCTCCTGAACTTGCCCCTCTAAGTCTGAGCTAACCCTGGTCTGGAAGCCCAGAGTGAAGGTTGTAATCCCAGCTACTCGGGTGGCTGAGAGCGAGAAATCTTGAGTTTGAGCCTGTATAAAAAAAAAAGTCTCCAACGAATATTACAAACTTCAGATGTAATTCGAGTTCACGCGGGACCGTGTTGAGAGCAGTTCAGTAAAGCAACTTGGGTGGTGACTGCGTCAAGACAGACAGACAGTTGCCTGAGGGTCAGAGTCCCAGAATTATACAGAATAAAAAACAGGCTTTTACAGGTTTTTTTTTCCCCGTGTTTTTTCCGAGACATGGTTTCTCTGTGTAACAGTCCTGACAGTCCTGGAACGCTCCTTGAAGACCAGGCTGGCCTCAAACTCACAGAGATCCTCCTGCCTCTGCTTCCCAAGTGCTGGGTTAAAATCGTGTGCCACCCGCGCACGGTGGCTTCTACACTTTAAGACCTTTTAGAAGGGGATCATGGCTCACACTTGCAATCCCAGTAATAGGGAGGCAGACATAGAAAATTGCCTTGAGTTCAGGGGCAAGCTTTGTTTTGTTTTTTTTGGCTGTCCTGGAACTCACTCTGTAGACCAGGCTAGCCTCGAACTCACAGAGATCCGCCTGCCTCAGCTTTTGGAGTACTGGGATTAAAAGCGTTCACCACCACCTCCAGGCCTTCGAAGCCTGTCTTTGAAAAAGAAAAAAAAAATTTTTGAAGCCAGGCACGGTTATGTAGTTTTGAAATATCAGCCCTCAGGAGGTTGAGGCAGAAGGATCTAAAGCTTGACAACCAGCCAGGGCTACCGTAGTAAGACCCGGCCTCAAGACGACAAAAAACACCGGCTGGTTGTGGGTCTCTGCTGCAGAACACTTAGCAGAAGGCCCTGGATCCCATCCCAGCACCAAGAAGAAGCAAGAGCATGTAAATAAACAGTAGTACACCGGACCAACGGTTGTGAACATAGTATCTCCCAGGAAACGACAAAAATAGGCGAGAGAAAAGTGTTAAACTAGGAGCGCAGGTGGTAGGTAAAATTGTGACTGAAATAAGCAGAAAGCCGGGGCTGCTGCGACGGGACCGGGGGTGAGAAAGCAGGCAGCCCCCGCTGCGTGCCAACCGGATGCTTGCAAACTGGCAAGATAACTCGGTATTCCTTGAGAGCATCGGCGGGGACCCGGGCCGAGTGAAGGAAAGAGGCTGATGTGAAATATACATCGCTTCTCCCCCATAGCCTGGGAGGTAAAAACTCGGGGTGCCCAGAGGCGGACTGGGCCCACCAGGTCATTAAAGGCACTTGAGGGGCTGGCACGGCCATCCCCCAGCAACCTCCTCTTGGCTCCCTCAATCCCGATCCCAGAACCACAAGAGTTCCCCCCCTGCCCCGCACCCCCGCCAAGAAAAGAAAAATGCCATCTAGCAAATTGGTGGGGGGGGGGGGCGTGCAACAATCGGGAAGGCCTCCCCCAACCTTCCAGGCAGAGGAAGTGCGTCACGTCGTCCGTCTCGCAGAGCATTTTGGGAAGTGTAGTGAGATTGGGGGGGCGCGGAGAAGCCGACCGAGTAACCCTTTGGAGACCAAAGCGCCCGCCGGCTGCAGCGGCATTGGAAGGCGCTCGGCGCCGCTCCCTCAACGGATGAGGGCCTGGCTCCGAAGCCTTCGGTCCTCTCTCTGCTCATCCTATGGCCTGCGAGCCTCCCTCGAGGCTGGTCCCCCGAGGAGTCTGGGGGAGGACAAGGTGGCAAGGCGACACCCCTCTCCGAGACAGTTTCCCGGCTTCCCGGTCCCTTGAAAGCATCCAATCAGAACCTCTCCGCCCCATCACAAAAGAAGGCTGCTGCCTCCCTAGCCCGTCATTGGCCCCTTCGTGGAGGGGCGGGATTCTCAGAGAGGGCAAGACTCTTCCCTGAAACGGCTCAGCAAGTCAGAGCAGAAAGGGCTTGCCGGGTTCTGGGCTGGGGGTGTCAGGACTGTAATCCCAGCACTGGGGATGCTGAAGCAGGAGGACCGCAGGGAGTCTGAAGCCAGCCTCGGTTGCAAAGGCCGGCCGTAGAAAAAGTAAAGAATAAAGCCAAAGTCTCAAAGAAGAAGCGGGGAGAGGGGGACAGAAAAAAAATGCATGCACCAGAACTTGTCCTCTTCCCCCCCAAGCATTCATGAGTGAGTCCACGACCGGTTCCCTGGACCCCTGTGTGCGAACCCCGGCTTCACGACGAAGACCTAAGGAAGGAAGCCACGCAGAGGACAGCCGGCCGCGGGCGCCTACTCTTCCCGCCGCCGCCTTCTGCCCAGTCCGTTCCCCTTTAAGAAGCATCCCCGACGGGACTACATTTCCCAGAAGGCTTTGCCCGCGCGTTATGTAACTTTCCCTGCGAAGCGGCCTCTGGGGCAGAAGAAGGAGGTGGAGGCGGCGGCGTCGGCGGCGGCGGCCGTTGCAGCGGCGTCGGCGGCGGTGCGAGCGGCGGGAGCCCGGGGCGGCGGCGCCCGAGGCCCCATCCAGAGAGCCGGAGCTGTGCATCGCGACTCACGGTGCGGACCGGACTGGGGCGCCGACGCGCGTGCTCGCGGCTTTGCCTTTTTCCACGGGAGGCGGGAGTGAGGAGTGAGGAGGAGGAAAGGAAAAAAAAAAGGCTCCGGGCCCAGGGGGCGGGGAAGGGGGGCCGGGCCTGAATCCGGCGGGGAGGCCGAGCCGAGGCCGGACTGAGCGGCTCGCGCGCCCGTCCCCGGGGCTCGGCGGAGCGGACGCGGGCGGCGGGGGCGCACCGGGCGGGGGGGGCGGCGGCGGCGCCATGGCTTCCGTGCAAGCGTCCCGCCGCCAGTGGTGCTACCTGTGCGACCTGCCCAAGATGCCGTGGGCCATGGTGTGGGACTTCAGCGAGGCCGTGTGCCGCGGGTGCGTGAATTTCGAGGGCGCCGACCGCATCGAGCTGCTCATCGACGCCGCCCGCCAGCTCAAGCGCAGCCACGTGCTCCCCGAGGGCCGCTCGCCGGGACCCCCGGCCCTCAAGCACCCGACCTCCAAGGACCTGGCCCCGGCGGGCTCCCAGGGCTCGCAGCTGCCACCCCCGCAGGCCCAGGCGCAGCCATCGGGCACGGGAGGCAGCGTCTCGGGCCCGGACCGCTATGACAGGGCCGCTTCGTCGTCGAGCCGCTTGGCGCTGCCCTCGCCGGCTTTGGAGTACACCCTGGGGTCCCGGCTGGCCAACGGGCTGGGCCGCGACGAGGCGGTGGCGGAAGGGGCGCGCAGGGCTCTGCTTGGCTCCATCCCCAGCCTGATGCCCCCCGGGCTGCTGGCAGCTGCCGTGTCCGGCCTGGGAGGCCGAGCCCTGACCCTGGCACCTGGCTTAAGCCCGGCTCGTCCACTTTTCGGCTCCGATTTCGAGAAGGAGAAGCAGCAGAGGAACGCGGACTGCTTGGCGGAACTGAACGAGGCCATGCGCGGCCGGGCGGAGGAGTGGCACGGGCGTCCCAAGGCCGTGCGGGAGCAGCTGCTGGCGCTGTCCGCCTGCGCCCCTTTCAACGTGCGCTTCAAGAAGGACCACGGGCTGGTGGGCAGGGTGTTCGCCTTCGACGCCACGGCCCGCCCCCCGGGCTACGAGTTCGAGCTGAAGCTCTTCACCGAGTACCCCTGCGGCTCCGGCAACGTGTACGCGGGGGTCCTCGCCGTGGCTCGCCAGATGTTTCACGATGCTCTTCGGGAGCCGGGCAAGGCGCTGGCCTCGTCGGGCTTCAAGTACCTGGAATACGAACGCCGCCACGGCTCAGGGGAGTGGCGCCAGTTGGGAGAGCTGCTTACGGACGGGGTCCGCAGCTTCCGAGAGCCTGCCCCCGCCGAGGCCCTGCCCCAGCAGTACCCGGAACCGACCCCAGCCGCTCTGTGTGGCCCACCGCCGCGAGCCCCATCCCGGAACCTGGCGCCCACGCCACGCCGGCGCAAGGCGTCCCCTGAGCCCGAGGGCGAGTCCGCCGGCAAGATGACCACGGAGGAGCAGCAGCAGCGGCACTGGGTGGCACCGGGTGGCCCGTACTCCGCAGACACACCTGGCGTGCCCTCACCCATTGCTGCCCTCAAGAATGTGGCCGAGGCCCTGGGCCACTCCCCCAAGGACCCGGGTGGGGGCGGAGGCCCTGTGCGCGCAGGGGGCGCCAGCCCCGCGGCTTCCTCCACGACCCAGCCGGCGACCCAGCATCGCCTGGTGGCTCGCAATGGAGAGGCGGAAGTCAGCCCCACGGCCGGGGCTGAGGCTGTCAGCGGGGGTGGCGGCGGCGGCGGCACGGGGGCGACCCCTGGAGCCCCCCTGTGCTGCACCCTGTGCCGAGAGAGGCTGGAAGACACCCACTTCGTGCAGTGTCCCTCGGTACCCGGACACAAGTTCTGCTTCCCTTGCTCCCGGGAGTTCATCAAAGCACAGGGCCCGGCTGGAGAGGTGTACTGCCCCAGCGGAGACAAGTGTCCGCTGGTGGGGTCCTCTGTCCCCTGGGCCTTCATGCAGGGCGAGATCGCTACCATCCTTGCCGGAGACATCAAGGTCAAGAAGGAAAGGGACCCCTAGGCCGCCAGCGCCACCGGGCTATTCCCCCCACCCCCCCCTTGGCCGCCCACCGCGGTGGCGGATAAATTATTCCCTGCCCCACCCAACCCAGTACCGCCCTAACCTGTGTATAGACCCTCCTCCCCTACCCGGATGGATCCCCTAGGGTAGATGCATTGTGGGTGGGGGGAGAGCTTGTGGCTCCTGTCAGAGCGGGTGTTTGGAGTTCCTGGGCCCCTCCGATTCCCTTCTCCTTTCTTGGCTTGGCTCTTCTGCTGTTGGTAGTTGGGGGACAGGTACCCCGCTTGTCCTTGAGAAGCAGCGATCTCCCGAGAACTCGCTCTTTATAAACGAAGCAAAAGCATTTTATTGCCCCCCCTCCCACCCTTTTCCTCCTTCAATAAACGGAAAGATGGGTTGGGTTTTTCCCCCCCTCCCCTTCACGGTCCCTTTAGTTGAGTGAGATGCTGCGCCCCCTTCGGGACTGGACGTGTCCTGCGAGAGAGAGGACTTCTGCTATGTGACCACGAGGTGGCGCCCTTTGCCCAGCGGGCGACTGTTTGTAGTGTACGTTTGCTGTGCTCATTAAAAGGTGTAGTCGAGGCTGGTGTTGCAGACGATGGAACTGAGGTTCTGGCAGGGCTTGGCTTCTGCTTGGCGGGGAACAGGTGTGCGCCGCAGCTGGCCGATACTCTGAATGTGGAAACCATCGGAGGAGGGAGAAGGGGTGGGAGACCTCCTAAGCCAGTTTATGTGAAGGTGTATTTCTAGGGGAACTGCCCACGGGAAAAGTTTACCTTCCCGGTAAAACGAATGCTGGAGGCAGGGTGATGGCGTCTTGCTTCAGACGGCGCCTGAGAGGGGAACACACCTGAGAAACCTATACTGGGCTCGTGTCTTTCATCTGGGGACATGGCGGCCACCCTGGACCAGCCAAGAGCTAAGTAAAAGGCTCTCAACCGCCGCGGCTGCTTCTGATGTGTGCGCGGCCTTGTCCAGCACCTGTCCTGGGTGACTGATCATTAACCAGGATTTCCTGCTCACTGACGTCATGGGGCGGGGTCAGGGGGCCCTAGGCAGGTCGTGGCAAAACAGGGGTTAAGAAGATGGGGCGGCCCCAGGAACCCTGACATGCAGACTACTGGAAGGGTTGCAGTGCCGAGCCAAAGGGACAGTAGATGCTCAGCGAGATTGTGTCCCGCCTCTGCGCGACGCTCAGCTCTGACACCCAAGGGTGCTCCTGATCTCCCTCCCCGGTGTTCCCTAACCCGAACATGAAAAACTGTCACATGCCCTTCGGTGTGCTACTTGGGTACCCCCCCCCATTCACCTGAAGACAAATGTCGCCTCCGGTATCTGCAGGATCCTGAGTTCCATTTACCCCATCCCAGTGGTGATCGCTCAAGTTCTCAGGCAACCCGGGCACTACCAGCCTGGGGCTCAGGGCAGGGCTGGGAAAACCACCCCTGATAAAATACATCAGGTGATAAGCCACGCCAGAGATGCTGCTGCTTGGTGGAGCACCCCTCTTTCGGGAGCCTTCCTGGTTGATCAGTAGTGGGGCACGCACGCTCCCCCTAAAAATCCCCAGGGATAGCGGCCCCCCCACACCTGGCCACTCCGCTCCAGGAAGGACTCACAGCTGTGGGGACACCTGGTCCTTTAAGAGCAGCTGGTAGGTGGGTGGGGGGCAGGGGAGTCACCCCCAGCCTGCCTGCTGTGTATTTTAGATAGGGGTTGGGTTAACTATTAACAGAACGGACAGGCTGACCTGTGTGGGTGTTGGGGGGGCTGGGTCAGTCCCCCTTCCCCCAGTGCCCAGGTGGGGTAAGGGTGGAGGGATTTGGGATTTGTTTTGGGGACCAGGGAGTAAGCAGAGAGAATGAGAAAAATGTTGCAGAAAGGGGGCCTGGAAAGATGTCTCAGTGGCTAAGAGCACCGGCTGTTCTCCCGGAGAACCGGAGTTCAATTCCCAGCACCCACAGGGCAGCTCACAGCTGTCTGTAACTCCAGTTCCAGGGGATCTGATACCTGCATGCACTTACAATAAAGTTAAATTATTTTTTTAAAATCCAGAAAAAAGCCGGGCGTTGGTGGCGCACGCCTTTAATCCCAGCACTCGGGAGGCAGAGGCAGGGGGATAACTGTGAGTTTGAGACCAGCCTGGACTACAGAGCGAGTTCCAGGACAGCCTCCAAAGACACAGAGAAACCCTGTCTCGAAAAACCAAAAAAAAAAAAAAAAAAAAAAAAAATCCAGAAAAAAAAATGTGGCAAACGGCAGAGGTGATGAAGAGAGGAGCAAGGGGCCGGTTAGTAAGGGCTGGGAGTGGGCCTCAAGTGGTGGGCTGCCCAGAGTCTGGCAGCGAGGGGCTGGGTGTGTGGCTCAGTGGCAGAGGGTTTGCCCGGGGTCTGTCAGTGAAGAGCTGGGCCGTGGTTCAGTGGCACCTGCCCAGAATCTCCCCGGGAGGGTCTCGGAAGCTTTTGCTCATAGATAGAGCGCGTTCCTAAGCATCTGGGAGGCCATGGCTTCCATCCCAACACCACAAAAAAAATAAGAAATTAATTCACCGAGTCAGATACATGGAGAAAAAGAATAAGAGAACCTGGAAAATGAGGCAAAAATGGAGGAAAGCATCCAGGTGGTGGTGGCGGTGGCGGCGCATGCCTTTAATTCCAATACTCGGGAGGCAGAGGCAGGCTCATCTCTGAGTTCAAGGCCAGCCTGGTCTACAGAATGAGTTCTAGGACAGCCTAGTCTATAGAGTGAGTTCCAGGACAGCTAGGGCTACACAGGAACCCTGTCTCTAAAAACCAAAAAGAAAAGAAAAAAATGAGGAAAACAAACGCTTAGAGAAATAGGTTTAATGGTGTGGGTGGGGGGGACACGAAAGTGCCAGTCACAGGTTTGGAGGCTGGGAGGATGGGTTGCAGAGGGATATCCCTAATCCCAGCAGGAGGCTGAGGCTGAAGGGTCAACACAAGTTGCAGGCCAGCCCGGGCTGCATGGGAACAGTCCACCTCAAAAAGCAAACAAAGGAGAAAAGGACAAAAAGATTTGAAACTTGTTCGAGCTAGGAAGTTTCCAGAAAGAGAAAGCGGAAGACCTCTGGGAAGAAGGACAAGGCCAGGCCTGTCCTGGGGGCTCGGTTGCCCTCCTCACACGTGGTGTAAACAGCCGGCCAGTGGCTAGTTGTTCCTTATCTGACCAGCGTACACCACTTGTCACCTCGTCCAAATGAGCCTCCCTGACTCCTAGGCTGCCTGGAAGGTCATTTCTGAGTTCACACAGTCCTCCGTACTCCCTGACCCCAGCCTTGCCCATGCTGGACCATGCTGGACTGTGAGCCCCATAAGGGGAGGCCAGGGCTGGTTACCACTATGTCCACAGCATCACCCAGGCCAGGGCTGATTTAAGGGACTCACAAATAAATGGGATCCTTGCCCTCTATAAAAATCCCAGCCACCATCGTGGGACCAGTCCCAGGTCAGACGCTGCAGCTTAGAATGGGGACTACTGTTCCCAAAATCTACCATTCACACGAGTCACAGACCCTTCAAACACGGCAGCCCTAGGAGCTCAAGTTACCAGAAAAAGACAGGCCAGGCAAAGGGATCGCAGGCTGATATTTTCAGAACAGGTTCGTTGAGAACTAAAGGAAAAGAAGGAGCGAGTCTAGAGAAATCCGCGTGCCTGACTCGTACAAAGATCCTGAGGTGGTAAGGTGCTGGGTTCCACACAGAAGCAGCCATGAGCCAGAGCAGCCACGGGCAGGCAGACTCACAGACACACGCCCCCAGTGGAGGAGGCCACCTAAGGACCTGAGTCCAGCGAGGGGCAACGGGTACAGACAGCAACGTGGAGAAGTCCTATTCTTTTCAGAGCTCTCCCTACGGGGAAAGCCTCCCAGGCCATGCAAGAAAATTCTGGGTCCCCCGACTGCCTCCCAGTGCCCTGCCCACTCACACCTCAGGCAGAGGAAGCTGGCAAGCCCCACAGGAACCTTTGTATGGGGGGTGGGAGCGGTGAAAGGGGCGGGGCAGGACCAAGGGAGAGGAGAGCCCGGCGAGCAGCGGGCAGCGGCTACACAAAGGCCCCAGTGTCTGCCCCTCCTGCCCCCATACAGATATAAATAAGATGTGCATATACCTTTTTATATATACCAGCAGGCTGGGGCAGAGGCTGGGGGCCAGGGCACAGCAGTGTCTGCCACCGTGGCCAAGACTTGAACTAAGAGAACGGGAGCGAGAAGCTTCCATGGTGAAAAGCAGCCTGAGAGCCCAGACTTGGAAAGTGACACAATAGCGGATTCTCAAGTTGGAGGCAAATCTGTGAAACAAACTCGCCTGGCAAGAAGAAAAAGGATGGAGAAAGACAGACAGAATGAAGGAAAGGGTTGTGGCAGGGAAAGTCAGAGCTGCCCGCCTCGGGAACACGGGCCAAAGGAAGTAGGTACAGAAAAAAAGCAAGAGATTAAAATACAGGAGCGCGGGTGTAGTGACCTGTAACCCCAGCCCCTGAGAGGTGAAGTTAAAAGACCTCCTGGCCTACAAACCGAGTTTGAGACCAGCCTGGACTATATATCTCAAATAAACAAAAGGACACCCCTCATACGCACACACACACTCCATTAAAAAAAGCTATGGGTTAACCCGGCGTTGGTGGCGCACGCCTTTAATCCCAGCACTCGGGAGGCAGAGGCAGGCGGATCTCTGTGAGTTTGAGGCCAGCCTGGTCTACAAAGTGAGTTCCAGGACAGCCTCCAAAGCCACAGAGAAACCCTGCCTCGAAAAACAAAATAAATAAATAAATAAATAAAATAAAAAAAGCTATGGCTTAACCGGGCATTGGTGGCACACACCTTTAATCCCAGCACTTGGGAGGCAGAGGCAGGCGGATCTCTGTGAGTTCGAGGCCAGCCTGGTCTACAGAGCAAGTTCCAGGACAGGCTCCAAAACAACACAGAGAAACCCTGTCTCGAAAAAAGCCAAAGGCTAGGGCTAGGCATGTAGGGCTTGGCAGAGTGTCTAGTGTGAGAGAAACTCTCCAACGAGATGGGCATGGTGGTTCATGCTCGGAATGTCAGCAGCAATCCCCAGCTACATGGTGAACTCCAGGCTAGCCTAAGCTACAAGCAACCCTGTGGGCGGTGACCGCTTCGGGATCAAACACCCATTTCACAGGGGTCACCCAGGAACATATGCACATCAGAATATTTACAGTTCATAACAGCAGCAACATCAGTTACGGAGTCGCAACAACAATTTTAGGATTGAGGTCACCACAACATTAGGAACTGTATTAAGGGGTCTCAGCATTAGGAAGGTTGAGAACCACACCCATCCAGAGAGAGAGAGCGACAGAGACCAGGCTGAGGCCGAAACCCGGACTGTGGTGCAGGGAGGCTGGGGGCATGTCAGTGGGCTGTGGTCCAGCTGGGCCTGGAGCAGCTCTCAGGGCAGGGAGCAGAGGCGAGGGAGGTGCCCTGGGCCTCCGGATCCTCATGTTTACCTGAGGCAGGCATGGCAAACAGGCGTCCAACCTGGACCACAGTAGCCCGGGTAGGCTGGGCCGGGCCGGGCCACAGTCCTGGCACCAATGGGCCCGGCACGCCCACCTGTGGCCTGAGTAACACACACACACTGGCACCAGGGTAGATGGTGACACATTCGTGGACAGACACGGTGACGCACAGTGACCAATATAGGCAGATCTGCAGCGACAGGTCTGGGGGACCAAGACGCAGTGTCACATATAGAGCATTTTTATGCATAGGCCCGGTGACAGACAGCAGAAGCACTCACCAATATGCTAAAAGCCACTCGACACACAACAATACAGAAGCAGCATCAAAATGACACTAAGAAATACAAAAAGGCATATGACAAACACAGCCGGAACACACACACACACACACACACACACACACACACACACACACACACACACACACACACGTGTCAAATGCCCAGACTGCTGGCTTCTGCCATACCAAGTTGCGGCTGGAAGTGGAAGGTCCCCTCTAGGACGGTGGAGGTCCAGGGCACTGAGTCCAGGCCTCATGGTCCACCTAGGACCCCAATAATTAGCTGGGTAACCTTGATCAAGAAAGACACCTATCTATCTCAGTTTTTATTTTTCCCAAAATAAGGGAGGGGGCTAGAAAAGGATTATTCAAATTACTCATTACTTGTCAAGTCGGTTTTTTGTTTTTTTTTTTTAAGAAACACAGACTCACATGCAGTCTAGGTTGGCCCCAAACCAGTAACCCTCCTGCCTCTACCTCCAGAGTACTGAGCCCACAGGCGTGAGAGCCCCTGGGCCCCGCAGCTGGGCCGTTTCTATGGTCACTGCGACATCTCAGAGTATCCCGAGTCTATAGAGCCCCGTGCCCGAGTAGGGACCGGCGCCCTAGCCTCAGTTTCCCACCCACGGGGCATTTTCTTAGACTATGTCACTTCGGCCCCACAAGGCAGCCCTCTCTAAGCCCCCACCCCCATTCCCGAGCCGTCTCGCGTCCCTGGCGTCCTCCTGTCTGTCCACGCATCCCACGTGTGGCAGCGGTACTTTTCCACGTTGGACACCAGCCGACTGTCCCCGGGGTGGGGGGTCACACCTGCCCACACCGGGCGAGGCCAGGCGAGCCGGTGGCCACCAGACACCCCGACGGACGGCCCCACCCTCCCCTAAGGACCCTACAACAACACCCCGCCTCTCGGGCCACCTGAGGTCCCCAGGGGGGCAGCCTGAGGCCCGAGCCTGGGGACAGGAAGCCCCAGGCCTGGCTGTCCTGAAAGCCTCTTTCAACCCGGGCCTCCTCCCGCCGCCACCGACTCCTCCTGCGGAATAATATTTGGGCTGTTGGCCGGGGGGCGGGGGCCAGATCCGGAGGCCGCCGGGGAGAAGCCAGAAACCGCAGGGCTTCCTGCCTCGGGCCGGAGACCCCCAGGCCCGGGGGGAGGGCCGGGGCCCGGGGAGACTGAGGGCCTTTCTCTCGGCCCCAGTTGTTTTTTCCAGGAACCGGGAGGAATTCCCCAGGACAGCCAGGCTGGTGGGACCGCTGACAGCCGGGAGCCAGCAAGGCAGGGGGCGGGGGTGACACGCAGTCCGGGCAAGGCGGGACTGCGACAGAAATAGAGGGACCCGCCTGCCTGCCAGGCGGCAGGTAGAGGCGGAAACTCTGAACCAGGAGAGGGAGGGAGGCCAGAGGAGGGTGTGTGTGTGGGGGGGGGACTCGGATGACAGGGCCAGAGTCACCCGGTGGACCTAGCTCAGGAGGCGAGTGCCTGCCCAGCCCGCTCCAGGCGCGAGGTTGTATCCCCAGCACCGAACACACCAGAATAAATCAGTATGAACCAGGTGTGCACTCCTGCGGTCCTGGCACGTGGAAGGCAGAGGCAAGATTGCCAATGAGTTTGAGCACCCAGACTACACCATGAGGTTTTTTCAAAAATAAGTTAAAAAAAATTGACACCACACCACACACATACACCAAGTCATCTTCTATCTTTTCCCTTTCTTCTTGCCCCAAATGGAATAATAGCCCATGGTTTCCATAGGTTCCGGAGCCTCAGAGCGCCAGGTAGGTGGGTAGCTAGGGGTGTGTGTGTGTGTGTGTGTGTGTGTGTGTGTGTGTGTATGTGTCTGCAAAATGGGGGTAGGGCAGTGGCCTTGGTCACTGGCAAAGCCACCTCCCCTCTGGCTCCCCGGCTGCTGCGGGGGCTGCTATCTATGAACAAACTGTCCTTGGGGTCAGGGACAACACAGAGCCAAAGGTCACATTGCTGTTTTCCCCCAGCCCTTCCCCCATAGAGGCCACCAGCTGTCTGGGATAGGAAGCCGGTCACAGGGACGCAGAATTTCGGTGTTTGAGACCCACGGGTTCCACCAAGGAAAAGAGACACTCAGAAACTGAAAAGGTGCCTTTTTAATGGTCAAACACAGCCCCTATCCCAAGTCCCAGGCAAGAACTTGACCTCAGTAAGAGCTCCCCACACCCATACCAGTCCTTTCTGACATCCAGGGGTGGCGGGATTGGGCTTCACAGAAAAAAAATCACAGGTCTCCTCATCTGCACCTCTCACCCAACCCCCACCGAGGAGATGGTGGCGACAGGCCTGTGGTGACCTTCACGGTGCATGACAGCATGCTGAGGTGTCGCCTGGCCAGTAAGATGGCCTTCCATGCATCCAGTGGGTCAAAAAAGACATCACGTGATAAGGTGGCCAACTTGGCATCTGTGGTACCGCATCTGTCGTACCAAGAAGCCAGCCAAAAAAAAAAAAAAAAAAGACTGATCCCAGGAGACCGTGGGCCAAAGAAAGAAGACATGGCTGGCACGACATGACCGTCACACACTCAAATCAATCAAGATGTCCAGCACAGCATCCGGAGGGCCAAGCAAGATGTCACCCAGCATGGGGACCCAATGGCTTCACTCAGTACGGCAGCTTTCACAGCACCCAGCATTGCTGCCTACGCGCTACCCCCACCCAAAGGCCCCCCAGGAGTCCGTGGCAGTTACCACAGCAGCCAACAGGTCACCACAGTAATAGACCAGATAAGACGCTAAGCAGAGGGACAAGCGTGACCGGAAGGACCAGAGCCCAGGGGCCTGGTGTCCGTCACAGCTCACCCCACTGCGACGTTTCCAGTTGCCCTGCTAGGACGCGTTAAGCAGAGAGCGGGAATAGAGGTTCTGGTAGTAGACCCCTGGCTCCCCACTCTCGGCCCCATAGCCCCCAAACCCCGCATCCAGTTTGGAAGGTGCGGGTGTCTGTTCTGACATCAGGTTGTTGATGGAGAAAGGATGGTTGAAGTTGTAGGGCGCATCCAACTTCAGTTCCCCGGGGAGCTCCAGGCCGGTGAAATAGGGTGCGGAGGAAGGAGGCGAGGCGCAGTCCAGACCCCCCACATCTTCCCCACCCTGGGCCTCAGGCTCAGAAGGCGTAGGCTGGGGCTGAGCCTGGGAGGTGACCGCTGTGGCGGCTGGGGTCGCGGCGGAGGTGGCAGACCCCACTGCACCGTTCCTGGTGGCAGACGCAGCGCCGTTTCCCTTCTTGGCTTTCTCCTCCAGCTTGAAGCGCTTCTGCCGGCGAAGGTAGCAGCCGTTCTCAAACATGTTCCCGGAGCTGGGATGTAGGGCCCAGTAGGAGCCTTTGCCGGGCTTGTCTGGGGAGCGTGCCACCTTGACAAAGCAGTCATTGAAGGACAGTGAGTGGCGGATGGAGTTCTGCCAACGCTGCTGGTTCTCCCGGTAGTACGGGAAGAGGTCCATGATCCATTGGTAGATCTCGCTCAGGGTCAGCATCTTGCCCGGCGCCTGCTGGATGGCCATGGTGATGAGAGAGATGTAGGAATAGGGCGGCTTGGCGTGGGCCAGTGGCCGCCGGTACCCCTTTGCCATCTCCTTTCCGTGGACCAGCCCGGGACCCGGGGTTCCGTATCCGGAAGCACCGCTTCCACCGTTGGCAGCAGCGCCCAGGCCTGGGAAGGAGGGCCCCAGGGGTGCGGTGGGGGCTGGGGGTGCCAAGGGTCCCGTAGGCAGTGGGGAGGCTTGAAGCCCTCCGGGAGGGTAGGGAGAGCTCAGAGGGTTCAAGTTCATGTAGGAGTTGAGAGGGGCCATGGTGGGCACGGGAGTCACTGGAGAGAACACCTGCAGCGAGAGAAACAGAGAAGCTACAGTGCTCTTCCCCTCTCGCTCTGCAAAGGAGCTCTGGAGTAAGGCCCCCCCTCAGGGTTTTTAGAGACAGCCTCACAGAGCCCCAACCAGCCTCGAACTCACCGCAACCAAGACTTCACTTCGAATCCCCGATGTCTCCACCTTGTAATTGCTGGGAAGCCAGCGTCATAATACCCAGCTCGCCTGCCTGTCTTGTCTCCTCCCACCCCCTTTTATTTATTTATTTGTTTTGTTTGTTTTGTTTTTCGAGACAGGATTTCTCTGTGTAACAGCCCTGGTCATCCTGGAACTGGCTCTGTAGACCAGGCTGGCCTCGAACTCACAGAGATCCGCCTGCCTCTGCCTCCCGAGTGCTGGGATTAAAGGCGAGCGCCACCACCGCCCGGCTCTGTTTTGCTTTTCTTACATTTTTGGTTGTGAGCCTAGCCTTTAACAGCTGAGCCATCTCTCCAGCCCTGTTTTGTCTCTTCCATCTTTACCTTTCTCTAGAGGTAGCTGCCTCCCCACATGCTACCCCCTTCCCTCATGGTCGTGTTTGAAGCACAGGGGGATCTGAAATACCCCCAGGGGAGTCTCTGAAACCATTTTCAGGTATCCACCAGGTCAAGGTCGTTTTCCTTTTTGTTGTTTAGAGAGAGGGTCTCAAAGTGTAGACCATGCTGGCTTTGAACTCAGAGACGTGCGCATTTTCAAAATCAGTTCTACCAAGCATGGTGGTACAGGCCTGTAATCCCAGCTGCCCGGGAGGTTAATAATCACAAATTCAGGGTCAGCCTGGGCTTCAGAGAGACTTCTAGGACAGCCTGGACAACTTACTAGGATATTTGTCTCAAACAATGAAAAGGGTAGATGTTGTGAGTCAGTGGCACAGTCCCTGCCTAGAATCCCCCAGTGAGGGGCTGGGGGCGTGGCTCAGTGGTAGACTGCTTACCTGGCATACAAGAGGGCCTAGATTCACTCTAGTAAAATCAAAAAAGAAAAATTTTGTCAACCGTTTGCACCTTCTTTCATACGAGTGCATAATGAGCTTCTCATTGATCTGTGACATCTGCCATTGCAATAGACCAAAGGTCTAGCATGTAATCTTACAACTTGCCAGCTGTGTGGTCAAAGTAGGAGATATCGTCTTCCCACTGAATTCACTTATTTGTCTTAGAAACAGGACCTTGCTGTGTGGCTAGTGCTTCTCTCAGCTCACTATCTTTTTAAACAGCATCTGAAACCCCTTAGTTATCCCTAATAATGACTGCTATTTTAAACTACATCTTTTTTTTTTTTTTTTGGTTTTTCGACACAGGGTTTCTCTGTATTGTTTTGGAGGTTAAACTAAATCTCTAAGGGCCAGTTGGTCTGGGTGGCACACAGCTTCAATTCCAGCACTCGGGAGGCAGAGGCAGGCGGATCTCTGTGAGTTCGAGACCAGCCTGGTCTACAGAGCGAGTTCCAGGACAGCCTCCAAAACCACAGAGGAACCCTGTCTCGAAAAACAAAAACAACAACAAACAAAAAACCAAATTTTTTTAATAGTGAAAGAGGTTTGAGGGCTGGCGAGATGGCTCAGTGGTTAAGAGCAGGAACTGCTCTTCCTAGGGGCAGGAACTCACTTCCCAGCACACAGACAACTGCCTGTGATTCCAGCCCCAGAGGATCTGACAGCTACCCTTCTGGAGCAGCGTTCCTCATAGGCACATAGAGAGACAGACAGACAGACAGACAGACAGACAGACAGACAGACAGACACACACACACACACACACGTTTAAAATAATCTAGCAACTTCCAGACTAGCCAAGGCTTCATACTGAGAGATCATCTTCAAATAAGAAACAAAAAAAGACGTTCCGATTACAGTAAAATTGAGACATCAATATTTGATTTGAAAATAATTGAGAAATCAATCGGAATTAGCCAAGTCAGCCGAAAAATTGATTTTTAAAACAAATCAGCAGTTTTCCATTTTCTCCATTTCTTGTTATTTTTTTAAATTTATTTTACGTATATGATTGTTTTGCCTGCCTGTATGGGTATATATCACGTGAGTGTCTTATAGCCAAGGAAGGAGTCGGATCTCTGTTTCCCGAAAGTAGTCTCTCTCCAACTGCATGTGTGCATGGGACACACAGAGACAGAGACGCGGATGCAGGCAGGCAGGAACACATGCACACATGAGCCAAGACACACATGTTCCAACACACACACTTGTACTCACATAAATAAATGAAATGAAATGTAAGGAACTTGAAAAAAGCCAGGCGGTGGTGGCGCACGCCTTTAATCCCAGCACTCAGGAGGCAGAGGCAGGTGGATCTCTGTGATTTTGAGGCCAGCCTGGTCTACAGAGCGAGTTCCAGGACAGCCTCCAAAAAACAATACAGAGAAACCCTGTCTTGAAAAAAAAAAAAAACCAGGATGGTCTGCAGATCAGGCAAACATTTTATCCACGCCCAGGTAGCTCTAAAAAAGGTTTTTTTCATTTTACGTAAGTATCTGTGTGGGGGTATGTACAAGTCACTGTGGGTGCTGGGGGAAGCCAGAAAAGGCTTTCAGATCCCCTGGATTTGGGGAGGGTTACAGGCAGGTGTGAGCTGCCTAACTTGGATGCTGGGAACCGAACTCGGGTCCCCTGCAAGAGCAGTATGGTGCTCTTAACTGAGCTCTCTCTCCAGCCCCCACAGGAGTCTCTTGCAAATAGGCAAGGATAGCCTCGGATTCCTGCCCCCACTTCCCAAATGCTGACTGCACAGGCTATTTCCAGGGCGCAGGGCTCTGCAGAGCTCTTTCTGTTGGATCTCAACCTGTTACTCCTTCTTTCCTTCCTTTCTCTCTGACGTAGGACCTTGCCACACGGCCCTGGCTGCCTCCCCCTCCCTCGTGCTGGGATTAAAGGTGTTTACCACCACCCCAGGCTCCTGCATCTGGTCATTCCTATCCCCCTGAGTGTCCTCCAGCCCCATCCCAGAACCTCTGCATCCCTCCCTCCCAGGGTCTACCCCTCCGTCCTTCTCCTCCCTCTCCCCTCCATGGCCCTCTCTCTCCCTTCCCCCACTCCCCTGGTGCGCAGCAGAGCTGGGTACCAGTGCCCTGCATATCCATCTCTCCAGGAGTCCGCTTCCTACCCTCCTCCACGCTCTGGTCCTCCCACCCAGCTAGGCTGCTTCTGCCCCTCCCCTGCAAAGGAAAAGTGATGGCCTCAGGGGGTTCCAGAGACTCCTAATCCCTTTGTACCTCACTCTGCTTCTCCAACCCTGGGTCACCAGGGCTTTCCTTTCCTGGCTCCCCACCCACCCGGAAGTCCTCCTTGAGGTCTGACCTCAAGCACTCCAGCTGCTCTAATCCACCCTAGGCTTTCCCACGCCCCACGGCTGGGATGAACCCCTGATGTCCGGGTCTGAACCGGATCTCCCCCACTCAGGGTGCGGCTGAGAGTCTGGGGAAGCCCTCAGGGGACCTGCAAACCCCACCTGGGAGGTTGCAGTCTCACCCTTTTCATTTCCTTATTGTTTCTGGAGAAGGGTGTGCTAGGCAGCCCGGGGAGAGGAAGCCCGGGGACGCTTCCAGTTCCAGACCCAAAGGGGGGACCCCAGCTCCCTGCACCGTGCCCTACTGCCCATCTCTCAAATGGGGGGAGGGGGAGCTGTTGGGACAGTTTACTCCAGGAGGGTCACTTTCCAAGAGCCAGCTAGCCGCAGAGTAGGACACACATATCAACCTTGCCCCTCCCAGCAGCAGAAGTCATTAGTGTGTGTGTGTTTGTGTGTGTGGGTCTTGTCTGTTCTTAGTCCCAGTGGAATGCAGCCCACCCACTGTTCTCAAAAGCAGAGAGATGGGCTGAGAAGCCGCCGCAGAAGGTGGGGGGACCTTCAACAGTAGCTCCCAACCATCCAAATCCCCTTATGCTGACTCTTCCAAAACTACATCTAGGCTGACCCTTACCTAAGCCCCCTGCACCCAAGGTCTCATTCCGTAGGTCAAGCTGGCCTGGAGCTTGCTGTGGGAGCTGACTTCAAACTTGTCATCCTCCTGCCTTAGCTTCCCAAGTGCTAGGTCTACAGGCACACTGGCCTGTCTCCATATACGCGGTGTCCTTAACTGGGAGGGGGGGCATTCACACACACACTACCCCCAAACTTAAGCCTCCCCAGTTCCCCCCCACCCCAGGCCACTTCTTCAGCTATGTCCCCAGAACGACCGATTTGGAGTTGACTCTTAAACCCAATGCTCCAAACTCCCAACTCCCTGAGAGCCTCCACGTACCTACCACCTTGGCCTCTGCCTTCCCCATAATCTCACCAACACCTCCAGACTCCTCCCGATCCCTTCCCTGTCAACTCTGCCCCCCCCCCACCTCCCCAGACCCAAGACAGGCCCCTCCCGGGCACCTAGCCAAATCCAAGCCCTGCAACCCCTAGGGATCCAAAAGTCCCATCCCCACAGTTTGGAAATACAGACCCTGGCCACCTCCCTCAGCTACTAAATCCCAATGCAGCCTCCTAGGTTAGGGATCTCCGGGTCCGGAGCCTCATGCCCTTTTTCTCACATCACAATATGGATCACAGGGTGCGTGAACAGAGCGCGAGCCCTTGCAGCAGGACAAACACGAGTTAGACGTGCCGAGGGACTTTCTGTTTGTCAGGGTGAAGGAATTAAGGTCAATCCAGCAGTGACTAGTTGGTGCACCGCCTGGAGGTGGGGGGGGGGGGGGGTCCCTGCTGAGGGTGGTAAGGATGTGGAAAACGACGACTCCTATCACACAGGTGTGGATGCCCATATGTCTTTGGATCGCCCAAGGCTGACGTCATCTGAGGGCTGGCTAGTCTAAGCCACCTGTTGCTTACAGTAGGTTCCCCAAAAGGACCCCCGCTTACTCCCAACCGTCCAGAGCCCCCACCCCCCGGCGCCGTTTAACCCTGAACTTTCTAGCACAGACTTTCTTACTGGGGGTTCCCGACCCGTCCTCTCTACTTCGAACCTCGTTTCTTGAGGTCCTCCAGCTCTAGTCCCTCATCCTAGACGCTCCGATGATTCCCACCTCCAATTTGTTCCTCTGAGTCAGGGTCTCCGCACCTTTCCCGTGGGACCTCCAGGCTTTCGTGCGAACTTGTTCTTCGTTGGAAAGCAAACCATCGCCCAGGACCTGCTTGTCTAACTCGCCCTCCTAAGCCTTGCCCCCCCCCGTCCCCGTCCCCGACTCTCACACCTGGAGTCTGAGCCCCCAGGTCTCTGGCTCTCACCTGGGCCCGCAGCACGGTCTCCCCCACCCGCCCCCCCGGCCCCCGGGTTTGCATTGAAGCCTGCAGCCTCACGCCCGCCCGCCGTTTCCCGCTCCGCCATCCCCGAGGACACACCTCGCCCGCCTCCGGGTAGTAGCTCCACTCGGCCAGGTCGTGGGCCTCCATCTTCACCGAGCCCAGCATCCCCCGGGCCTGCGCCCCCACACGCCCAGGCTGCGCCCCCCCCGCCCCCGCCGGGGGAACCGAGCTCCGGTCTCGCGGCAGGCACCGGCCCGAAGTGAGGCTCGCAGCCCGGGAGTCCCGCTGGCCCGGGCGCCTAGGGAGGCAGGCACTCTTTATAGCCGGGACACCCCCGCCCTGGCCCGCCCCGGGCTCCCCTCCCACCTCCCCTAGGGCGGCGCGCTCGGACTGGGGCGCCCCCTGCGGGATCGCGAGGAGACAGAGCCCTTAGGCCCCCGGGAGCCTCGGTCCTGGCTGGCACCCGGGAGCCAGCGATGGGTGAGGGGTGGAGGAGCTACCAGGCGTGGGGTGCAGGACCACACGCTGCTGATTCCAAGAGCCCTAGAGCCCCAACGCGAGGGCGGGGAAACCTTTGGGCCTGGAGGTGTTTCATCATCTCCACCTAAGAGGGAAACGCCAGAGCCCCCGCATGTCCTCCACGAAGTCAATGAGGCTGACAGGACTCCACCAGTCCCCGTACGACACGCTAAGCGGCCCGCAGAGGGTCTTGAAGCCACATTCCCATTGGATAGACGGGAAGACTGAGGCTTTCGACCACTGCAAACGCTGCAGGCTGTGTACGGGGTCAGGGCCAATGGCGGGAAGCCTCAGGGCTTCTGCTCAGACCCCCCCTCCTTCCCACCGAGGCACTAGATCTCCACCAGGACCCGGGAGCTCCGCTCACAGCACTCTGCAGCCTAACGTCGACTTGCCGTCTAAGGGAGGTGGGGGGGGGGGCCCTCCGGCCTCTGCGAACTCCATTTCCCAGAAGCCCCCGTTCCCATTTCCGTCCCGGCGCCTGCGCACCACGGACTACATTTCCCAAAAGGCATGGCGCTCGAAGGCCGGAAATGGCGGCCGCCCCGGTGGACCCCCCGGGGAGGGCGGGCGGCTGCCGACGCGGCACGCCGTAGGGGCGGGGACGGGCCGCGGTGCGGGACTCCATTTCCCGGCGGCCCTGCTAGTGCAGCGCCTGCGCTGTGTCACGGCGGCAGGCGGAAGATGGCGGCGGCGGCAGCGTCTGTGGAGAGGCGCTGCTGAGGGGGCGCGAGGGGGACGGAGGAGGCCGGAGCCGCGGTGAGCGGGCGGCGGCGTGAGGGGCCCGGGGCGAGGGGAGGAGGGGCGCCGGCGAGGCCGGGGCGCGAGCGGCGGGGGAGGGCCTCGGGCAGGGCCGGGAGCAGCGGGGGGCGCGGGCCCTCGCGTCTTCCCCGCCCCCGCTCCCGGCCCTGCCCCGGCTGCCGAGCGCGGCCCCCCGCGGAAGCCCGCCCTCGGCGTCCCCGCGCCGGCCATGTGCCTGCGGTTACCCGGCAGCCCGGCCCGCCCCGGTCAGCCTTGGGGCTGCGGGTCCGGCGCCCCGCGTCACTTCCCCCGCAGGTCCCCGTTTCCCGCCCTCCCCCCCATCCTCCCGCCCGAGGCGCCGCTCCCGTAGTCCCCGCGCCTGTCCCCGCGCGTCGCGGCGTGGGGGTCGGGCTTGTGGTTAGGGTTGCGTGTGTGCGCGTGTCTGTGTGTGTGTGTCTGTGTGTATCTGTGTGAGTGTGTGTCTGTGTGCGTGTGTCTGTCTTAGCCAGTGTGTGTGTCTGTCCCATCATGAGTCTGTGTGCGCGTGCGTGTGTCTGTGTGCGTGTGTCTCTGTCTTAGCCAGTGTGTGTGTCTGTCCCATCATGAGTCTGTGTGCGCGTGCGTGTGTCTGTGTGTCTGTCTCTGCCAGTGTGTCTGTGTATGCGTGTGTGTACGTATGCACGCGTGTGTCTGTGTGTGCGCACGTGTGTCTGTGTGTCTGTCTCAGCCAGTGTGTCTGTGTGTCTGTCTGTCTCTGCCAGTGTGTCTGTGTATGCGTGTGTGTACGTATGCACGCGTGTGTCTGTGTGTGCGCACGTGTGTCTGTGTGTCTGTCTCAGCCAGTGTGTCTGTGTGTCTGTCTCTGCCAGTGTGTCTGTGTATGCGTGTGTGTACGTATGCACACGCGTGTCTCTGTGCGCGCGCGTGCTTGTGTCTGTCTGTCTGTCTCTGCCAGTGCCGCCTTCCCAGCACAGCGCCCGTCACACGCTGGAGTTGCTCAGCTGGTGTTGGTTGAATGAATGGAAACAAAAAACCCAAACAAGCACCCACTCGGAGGACACCCACTTCTTTAGGGTAACCAGGGGAGTTGTGTGTGCTTCCTGCTGGAAGGAGTTCGCTCCTGAGGACACAGCGAGGTGGGGGACTCGGTGTTAATGTTGTTTCCGACAGCCGGACCGCAGACATCCCAGATACTCTCAGTAGGAAGCCCGCCTGAAATCAGTAATTACAACTATATAATAAAATGATTTGGCCGGGCGGTGGTGGCGCACGCCTTTAATCCCAGCACTCGGGAGGCAGAGGTAGGTGGATCTTTGTGTGTTTGAGGCCAGCCTGGTCTGCAGAGCGAGTGCCGGGACAGCCTCCAAAACAGTCCAGAGAAACCCTGTCTCAAACAAAAAATAATAATAAAAGTAAACTAAATAAAATGATTTGCAGCTGTAGAAAAAAAAGGAAGGAAAAAATAGACTGAGCTCCAGCATTTATTAAGAGAAAAACTGACATAGAAAATAACCCGAAAAGTATCCAGATAGAAAATAGAAAAGTATCCAGAAGTTCTCATGTGTGGATTCAGCCAACCATAGATTGAAATATTCAGGAAACTGCCGGGTGGTGGCGGTGCACGCCTTTAATCTTGGGAGGCACAGGCAGGCAGTCTACAGAGCGAGTTCCAGGACAGCCAGGGCTATGCAAAGAAGCCCTGTCTCCGAAAAAGAAAAATATTCAGGGAGACCGATTTTACACTGGGCATGTGCAGACTTTTTTTGTTTTTAAACTTTAGCCCCTAAACAATACAATGTAACAATCTGGAGATGATTTAAACCATGTTGACTGGCACAGCTTGGAATTCCAGCTTCTTGAGAGTTTGTGTAGTGATCACAAAGTTCTAGTCCTTGCCAGGACTACAGAATGAGTTTATTGGCAGACTGGGCAACTTGGTGAGACCCCGTCTCAAAGTTTTTAACAGTAAGAACTGGGGATGTCACTCAGTGGCAGAGCCTGGTGTGCAGGGACCCCTGGGTTCCATCTCTAGCCCACCTGGGGCAGGGGGAACGAGGAGAGAGAGAGAGAGAGAGAGAGAGAGAGAGAGAGAGAGAGAGAGAGAGAGGGTTTTAAAAGTGTGCCAGAGTGTGTGTGGATTTCATAGGAACACTGCTCTTTTGTTTGTGACAAGGTCTCCTGGTCCAGGTTGGCTTCCCAACTTAACTATGTATGGAGGTTGACCTTGAGTTTAACACCACAGGATTTATGTGGTGCCGGGGATGGAGCCTAGGGATTTGTGCATATTAAACAACAGTACCAACTGTGCTCTGTCCCCAGCCCAACAGTACACTTCCCTTTTTTTTTTTTTTTGGAGACAGAGTGACCCTAAGAAATCATCTTGCCTCTGCCCCTAGTGCTGGGACTGAAGGGGTATGTATGCCATCTTGTCTGGCCAAACAGTGCTATTTTAAATAAGGGTTTGAAAGAGAAATAGGACTATATACTCAAGACAAGACAAACCCCAGAAAATTAAAGAGTAAACCAAAGAGGAAGGAAAGTTTTGTTGGCTCTTGACGTGTCATCCAGAAAAGCGTGGGAAGTTTCTTACTTTCTGGTTCAAGGAGCGTTGTGGTGTGACATGTGTGTGCCCTTGGCTCAGCGAGCAGACATGAGGCATGGTGACGGCCAGAAGCGAGAGATGAACACATTGGGCACACACAGGGTGTGTGTGTGTGTGTGTGTGAGAGAGAGAGAGAGAGAGAGAGAGATTTGGCTGGGGGAGTCCTCACTATGGAAGAAAGGACTAGATCTCTGGGAGGCAAGAGAAGAAACACCATGCCAAAGGGGTGTGCAGGGTGGGACCAGCTGACAGAAAAATCGGTCTGCTGCTTGTCCATTTACCCGGTGTGCAGCCTGTCCTACAGAGGCGTTGCATGTGCTGTGTGAGTGCTGTCGGCCAGCTTGCAGAGCCTTCAGCATGTAGGTGTGTCTTTCGGCTGTCTCCCTGCTTCAGAACACGTGGTTGGCTTGTGCTGCTTGATGTTAAAAGTAACGCTGTGCACGGTGTCTTCTCCATGACTTTCCTGTAAGTTCCTCTCCCTCACTTTCACAGAAGGAACAGCGTGAGGATACTGTATTACATGCAATGAGTCCTCTTCTCTCTCTCTCTCTCTGCTTTTTGTTTTTTGTGTTTTTTTTTTTTTGAGACAGTATAAAGTAGCCCTGGCTGACATTTTCACCTACCTGCATCTTGAAAATGCTGAAATGAGAGAAATGCACCACCACACCTGGATATATAGATGGCCCTTCCCTCCCTCCTTCCCTCCTTCCTTTGTTCTTTTTTTTGAGATGGGTCTCACTATGCAGCCCAGGCTGACATGGAACCCTGTGGCTGTGCACACCTGTAATTCCAGCTCTTGGGAGGCACAAACAGAAGGGAGTAGGAGTTGATGGCCATCTTTGACTACCTAGTGAGTCTGAGAGCAGCCCAACCTTCACAGCACCCTGTGTTTAGAAAAGATAGCAGAAGTATTGCAGGGGAAGCGTTGTGCCTGTGACCGAGACGTCATTCTCCCCGGCATTGGATCCCTGCACGTGAACATACGCCCTGTAACCCCCCTGCAGGAGGAAGGAGACTCACTCTTTTCTCTTCCAGGGAGAACCTGACAGCAGTCATGGCAAGTGGCAGTGGGGACAGTGTCACCCGCCGGAGCGTGGCATCACAGTTTTTCACACAAGAGGAAGGGCCAGGCGTCGATGGCATGACCACTTCTGAGAGGGTGAGTATAACTGAGGGATTGGGAGTGACACAAAGTGACTCTTGCCTTGGCAGGACGCTGCCCAGACGGCAGAGCTCAAGAAGACCGTGGGGCTTGGCCTGGGCCAGTGAGACAGGCCGTGACACTTGCTTGTCCCTTCTTCCAGGTAGTAGATCTTCTGAACCAGGCAGCGCTGATCACCAATGACTCAAAGATCACAGTGCTCAAACAGGTGAGTTGGGGGGTGAGGGAGAGGGAGGGTAGGCCAGGGGCAGGAACACTCACTGAGAGAGCATCGCTGACACCTGAAGTCACAGGTGCCTGCTCTATATACACTCACACGCGCGCGCGTGCGCGCACATACACACACACACACACACGCCTGTGATACACTCACACGTGCTTGCTCTATATACTCACACATGCACGCACGCTCGCGCACACACACGCCTGTGATATACTCACACATGACTGCACATGTGCACTTGTACGTACCTGTGCCCCAGAGTGCAGTGCTTCCCCGACTCGGGGTGACGGGTGGAGGGGGCACCTGTAGTTTATGCACAGAGAAGCAGACTCTGCCAGTGGCTGGCCAAACTGGCCCTTAGATTCTGGGGTCGTCCTGGATCCTGTGCTTTCCTCTCCCGTGGTCCAGTAGGGTGAGCAGACAGTGATGACCAGAGTGGGTAGGGCTGCCAAGCAGAATCAGGAGGGGGCTCCTGGCTGGGCAGTGGTGGCGCTCACCTCTAATCCCAGCACTCTGGAGACAGAGGCAGGTGGATCTCTGTGAGTTCGAGGCCAGCCTGGTCTACAGAGTGAGTTCCAGGACAGCCTCCAAAAACAATACAGAGAAACCCTGTCTCAACACCCCCTTCACCCCCCTGCCCAAAAAAAAGCAGCCTGGCATGTAAGAGGTGTCAGGAATGGGCTCTCCTGGTCAGAATGCTTGTTGGATGCTGACATTGTGAGGCTGGAAAACTGGCAGCCAGGCAAAAGGAGGCTGAACCTCAGGAAGGCAGGAGCCCCAGGGTTTTCTTTTCCTCTCTCCTCTTCCTTGTCCTTGTGCTGGAGCCTAGAGCCTTGGCTGGCCAGGCAGCAGTCTCGTGGGGCTACATGCTTCATTCAGACTCATTCATTCTTTTATTTGGGTTTTTGTTTTATTTTATCTCATTCTGTTTTTGAGACACGGTCTCTCTATGTAGTCCTGATTGTTCTGGAACTCGCTCTGTAGACCACGCTGGTCTCGAACTCACAGAGATCCGCCTGCCTCTGCCTCCCGAGTGCTGGGATTAAAGATGTGCGCCACCACCGCCCGGCCATCCCATATTTTTATATTCTTTATTTCATGTATGCCTGCACAGTGTACGGGCGTCAGAGGGCAGCTTGCTAGAATTGGCTCTTTCTTTCTACCAAGAGGCTCCCAGAGAGTCTGTTCAGATCTCGAGGCATGGGTGGCTAGCACCTTACCCCCTAAGCCATCTTTGTGACCCTTAGTTTTAGCTTTTTAGATAGAGTTCATAGTATAGACTGCCTGGATAGCATGACAATCCTGCCTCCGCCTCCCAAGGATTATGAAGAAGAACCACTGTGCCCGGCTTTGGAGCCTGGTTCTAGGTCTGTTCCTCTTCCCCCAATCTCCTAGGTTCAGGAGCTGATCATCAACAAAGACCCCACCCTGCTCGACAACTTCTTGGATGTGAGTGGTCAGCCCGCGGGTGGGATGGAAGTGAGGTGGTGTCCCTTGGTGTGGCCTGATCGTGTCCCCTCCGACATTACAGGAGATCATCGCTTTCCAAGCAGACAAGTCCATCGAAGTGCGCAAGTTCGTCATCGGCTTCATCGAGGAAGCATGGTATGGGACCTCCTTGAGACTGCCTGGTGTCCTGGCTTGTGTTCCCTGGAGTCCCCAGCACACAGCCAATGAGTGCAGCCCTGGGCGTCACGGTCCCGGCCGGCCCTTGCACCATCGCTTCACGCTTGCTTTGCTGGCTGACGTGGCCTGTACCAGTGCTCTTTTGTTTTGTTTTGTTTTGTTTTGTTTTTGTTTTTCGAGACAGGGTTTCTCTGTGGCTTTGGAGGCTGTCCTGGAACTCGCTCTGTAGACCAGGCTGGCCTCGAACTCACAGAGATCCGCCTGCCTCTGCCTCCCGAGTGCTGGGATTAAAGGCGTGCGCCACCAACGCCCGGCTTAGCCAGTGCTCTTAAACTCGAAGCCAGCCATCTTTCCTGGTCTCCCCCCTCTCTCTCTCACACACACACACACACACACACACACACACACACTCTTTCTTTGAAGTTTCATATTTTTTGAACAATGCAGCTGGTGCTTAGAGTCAGAAAGGAACTTACGTTGTGAAAAAATCACATTACTGTGTTGTGCTCTGGGGCCTGGCCTTCTCAGATTGCTTTGTTCCTTGGCCAGGGTTACTGGAGGCCTTTGATTCTTTCTGGCAGCCAAACTGACCCTGCCAGTTCTTAGTCCTACCAAGGGTCCCTGATGTGGGAGCCTTCAGGCTTGAGTAAACAAAAGTAGGTGTTGTCCTGAGTCCTTTCATTGCGCGCTGGGTGGTTTTGGTGGCTGTTCGCACCTGTGCAGTGGGTGGTATTCAGATAGGATAAGGAACGGGCTAGGGATGTGACTCTGCAGTGCTTGCCTAGCATGCACGGAGCCTTGGGTTCCCCAGCACTTTAGGAATCTGTGTGGTACACACTTAAAAATCCTAGCACAGGCGATGTGGAGGCAGGAGGATCTGGAGCCCAAGGTCACCCTCAGCTGTTAGGTAGGTAGAGGCCAAGCTGGGGCCGAGACTCTGAAACCTCAAACACTTGTTGGCTGTCGCTTACTTAGACAGCCGGACCCTACAGAGTTGAAGGAGTGAAGGCCGCAGGGACAGCCGTGGTACAGCAGACCTGTCAGCATCCTCCTCCATACTGGGCGTGCTGACAGAGATTCTCACACCACCACCTCAGTTTCTGGATTCGTGGGCCTGAGTCCCCACCCCAAGGCCAACATTACCGGTCCCCTTTCTTCCCTCCCCAGCAAGCGGGACATTGAGCTGCTGCTAAAACTGATCGCCAACCTCAACATGCTCCTGCGGGACGAAAATGTGAACGTGGTGAAGAAGGCCATCCTCACCATGACCCAGCTCTACAAGGTGGCCCTGCAGGTGAGCAGCACAGCCGGCCTTCAGCGAGGACGGCCTTCCTTACAGCCACGCCAGGGGGTTGAGGTCACGACGCGGTCGCCCAGAGAAAGCTGCACATGCTTCCTCCCTTAGCTGGGCTATGGGCTATGTTGCCAGTCCTGGTGAGCATAAGCTTGTCATGAGTGAGAGTAGACAGCCAGGCATCTGATGTGTGGGCCCACTCATTATGCATTCCACAGACACTCCCCCAGAGTGTCCACTTTCAAGCTCTGACAGGTGGTGCCGGGACAGCCAGCACCAGACTCCAGATGCAGCCTTCACAGTGCTAGCTCAGAGGGACACAGTGCAGCCGGTGGGTTGCTCACCTGTCAGCCCAGCCTGTGGGAGGCTGGGCAGGAAGAGTTCAAGGCCACCTTGGACTGCAGAAATAATAGCAGTTTTTAAAAAGAATCACGAGTCTACAGAAATGGCCAAGCTGTTGGGAATACTTTTCTTCCAGAGGACGTCCCACCACCACATGGTCTCTCATAACCATCTGTAACTCCAATTGCTTTTCTTGTTTGTGTATTTGTTTTTGTTTTTTTGGAGACAGGGTTTCTCTGTGGCTTTGGAGGCTGTCCTGGAACTCGCTCTTGTAGATCAGGCTGGTCTCGAACTCACTCTGCCTCCCGAGTGCTGGGATTAAAAGTGTGTGCCACCACTGCCTGGCCTGTAACTCCAATTTCAGGACATCTGACACTCTCTTATGACTTCCTTGGGTACTGCATACAAGTGTTGCACAGACACACACAGACAAAACACCCATACACATACACATAAAAAGGAGGATCACAGGAGAGTTCTCAATTGTTATTTGATGACGCAGGAATGAGTTTATTGGTTAGGTCACTCATTGTTAGCAAAATGAAGCCAGTTACTCACTGCTGCCTTTTGGGTGGGAGTATTCGGGTGTTTTGCCTGCATATATGTCTGTGCAATGTGTGTGCAGTGCCTGTTGAGGCCAGAAGAGAGCATCAGGTCTTCTGGAACTGAGTAACAGACGGGGAGAGATGCCAGATGGGCTTGGGAATAAACCTGGGCCCTGTGGAAGAGCAGCCAGTGCTCTTTACCTGCCCACCTGTCTCTTCAGCCCTGCTGACCCCTCTGCGGTGACTGTTCCTGGGTTTTGAGGTCTGATGCTTCACCACGGGCTTAGCTGTGTCTTGGTCGCCCCCATCCTACCTGGCCCAGTACTGAGCGTAGCTGTTGGTTTAGGCAAGTGCTCACAGCATTCAGTCTGCAGGTGGGGCAGAGCCTGCTGGCAGTGATGTTGTCCTGGCTGTCTCTGACTTTCCTATGCCCGGCCCCTCGGCAGTGGATGGTGAAGTCTCGGGTCATCAACGACCTCCAGGAGGCCTGCTGGGACATGGTGTCCTCCATGGCTGGGGAGATCATCCTGCTGTTGGATTCCGACAATGATGGCATCCGTACACATGCAATCAAGTTTGTGGAGGGCCTCATTGTCACCCTGTCACCTCGCATGGCTGATTCAGAGGTCCCCCGACGCCAGGAGCATGACATCAGTCTGGACCGAATCCCTCGAGATCACCCCTACATCCAGTACAGTGAGTGCTGCCGAGCCCTGGGGCTGTTACACGGTGCTGTTACAGTGTGTTCTGTAGACTCACATGGAGCTTGCTTTACTCGTTTTCCTGTAGTATGAGCTCAGTGTGTTTACGTCAGAACGTAACTGTTGACTCTGGAGGACCAGACTGAGCATTGCTGCTCCAGGACTACTGGGCTGTGTGGGTGGATCGTCATCTAGTCAAGTTGATGGTGGGACCCCACTGACCGAGCCTCTCCTTCCCGTTAGATGTCCTGTGGGAGGAAGGCAAGGCAGCCTTGGAGCAGCTGCTGAAGTTCATGGTGCACCCTGCCATCTCCTCCATCAACCTGACCACAGCCCTGGGCTCCCTTGCCAACATCGCCCGCCAGAGACCCATGTTCATGTCCGAGGTGATCCAGGCCTATGAGACCCTGCATGGTAGGTTGAAGGTCCTCGCCCCGTGCCTGCTCCTGGCCAGGTTGCTGCTTCCCCGGGAGCTGTTGAGCTGTGCATACGCCACTGCTCCGTGTTAGATAGAAAGCTTTGGCTTGGGATGCTGGACCACAAGATTGTTTCTCACAACATCCCTCCATCCCTCAGAAGAGGAAGCTGGTGACATTCTCCCATGTTTGTGCCTGGGGTTGAGGCATGGTTGGATGCCTCTGAGCCGTTGCATTGGCTTTGTTTTCTAGCCGTTTCTTGAAGCACTAAAGATGGCCCTAGAGCTCTAGGCTCCCATCCTATCCACTTAGCAACAGAGGGAGAGAGCAACTCTTTCCCCATCATTCCAGCAAAAGTCAAGGCCGATGTTCATTGTTTATGATTGGCTGAGCAGAGACTGTGAGCCTACCACTGAGCCAATCACAGTGGCCAGGGAAACGCAGTGTTCTCATTGGCCCTAGTCTCCTGCACACTTGGGCAGAGGATGGAGACAGGGTGGTTCCCTCAGAAGGGAACGAGCGTGGCTCAGGCCGAGGGGCTGATGGTGGGCACTGCACAGGCCGAGTTAGAGGCTTCTTTCTCTGTGGAGCAGGGGCAGCTCGCTCCCCAAGGTGACTGAGACTGGCTGGTCATGCCTGTGGCAGGAGGACCGGCCTGAGCTGTGGCAGCTGTTGAGTCAGCAGCCTGTGGAGGAGGTGGCGGCTACAGCCGTCCGCAGGGTGGCAGTGGCTGCAGATCTGAGACCGGAACCTGAGGCCTGAGTGCAGAGAAGTAACGCGTAGGCTTCCTCACTTTAAAGGACTAATATCCTAGAGGTCTCTTGGGCTTTCGGTCTCCGCTTGAAAGGGGGAAGACTGCCAGTCCTTCTGTGAGCCCGGGAACTTCCCAGGGAATGGCAGCAAGAACTGAGAATTGAGCCTGGCAGGCCACACAGGGATCTGTTCCCAGCACCGAGCCCCCACCTCTGTCCTCACAGCCAACCTGCCCCCAACCCTGGCCAAGTCCCAGGTGAGCAGCGTGCGTAAGAACCTCAAGCTGCACTTGCTGAGCGTGCTCAAGCACCCGGCCTCCTTGGAGTTCCAGGCCCAGATCACCACCCTGCTGGTGGACCTGGGCACCCCCCAGGCAGAGATCGCCCGCAACATGCCCAGCAGCAAGGACTCCCGCAAACGGTCCCGGGATGACGCAGACTCCACGCTGAAGAAGATGAAGCTGGGTGAGTTGGGACGTAGGCCTGGCTTTGTTACACTGTGCTAAGTTGCATTAATACACAGGGTATTCCGTACCGTGATGTGGTAAATGTACCCAAGTAATTAGCTGTGGCATATAGTACATTTAGTGAGTGTGAGCTTGCGTTTCTGAGTAGGGACTTCTAGTCTAGGAGACGGGAACCTTGGTCTTTCTGCCTCCACCTCTGGACTGCTGGCATGGCGGATGTGTGGCCAGTGAGGGTTCATTTAGATGTTACGAAAAGGAAGCGAGTGCCGCGTTCTTCGTGTTTTCTTCTCCCGTTGTATATATGTGCAGAAGGCTCTTTTCCTTTACTTGATATATGTGTAATTGGATTTTTCTTGTTTTGTTTTGGTCTTTCAAGAAGGCTTTCTCCGTGTAGCCCTGGCTGTTCTGGAACTCGCTGTAGACCAGGCTGGCCTTGAACTCACAGAGACTCACCTGCCTCTGCCTCCCGAGTGCTGGAACTAAAGGCGTGCGCTGCCACCATCTGGCTCGGGGTTTTCTTTTTTAATTTTGAAAACTTTAACATTTTTGTTTTTTGTTGAGACACAGTCTTACTTCCTCTGCCTCCAGGTGTGAGGATTGTAGGTGAGGGTCACCACCCCAGCTCTGAAGTGATTTCTGGGGTACTCAACAATAGTGTTGACCATAGCAGCCTCTTAGTACCAACAGTTTTTAAAAATGTCGTGTGGGACTGGAGAGATGGCTCAGTGGTTAAGAGCACTGGCTGCTCTTCCAAAAGGACCCGGGTTCAATTCCCATTACCCATATGACAGCTAACAACTGTCTACAACTCCAAAATCCAACACCATTAAACAGGCAAAATCTCAAAATAAAAAGTGGTAACAATAAAAATGCCGTGTGTGTTTGTAGAACGTTTCTGAAATTATGTTGGGGTTTGTTTTGCTTTTGTGAAGATCTCACTGTGTAGTCCTGGCTGCCTTCAATCCACCTGCCTCTGCTTCTGAAGTGCTGGGATCACAGAGGGGGCCAGAGCACCCAGCTGGGAAGTTCTTTTTCGTATTCAAATGGAATTAATTTCATAAGGGCTGCTGTGGGGATCTAGCTACAGTTCTCCATTGCTCGGTGAGCGAGAGCAATGCTGTGCTCTCCTTTAAGCTTCTGTGGAGGAGATTCTTGGAGTCTGCTGCAATTTTTTTAAGTGGGGGAGGGGGCGCACATATGCCATGGTGCATGTATGGAGGCCAGGGTGCAACTTTGTGGGATCTGTCCTCTTCTTCTGGGTATCAAACTCAGATCTTCATTCAGGTTTGTGCGGGAAACACCTCACCCCACTGAGCCTGGCTGGCCCTTCATCTTTTCACTATTTTAACTTTTTCATTATATTAATTTTATTTCATGTGTGAGTGTCCCCCTTGTACACATATTTACCGCGTGCGTGCTTGGTGTCTCTGGAAGACTGAAGGCGGTATCACATTCCCTGGGACTGGCCTTGCAGGTGGTTGTGAGCCACGATTTGGACGTTCTTAAGTCTAAGCTGCCTCTGCCTCTGCCCTGCATCTTTTTAACGGTGGTCAAGTACTCCGTGATGTGCATGGAAACATCGACAGTTAATCTGTGGACTTTCTGTTTCTGCCCTGCTGTAGGACTGTCCTATACATCTAACCCTGAGCACTCCCAAAGGAAAATACTTAAAGGGGTCGTGCATTAAGTTTGTCTAAAATCAGTTTTATTTTCTTACTATTTTTAAAGATTTATTTGTTTTTTATTATTGTTTATTTATTTTTTAAAATAATTTGTTTAACTTTATTTTGAAGGTATCACGCCAATCACAAACTGGAGTCACAGACAGTTGTGCACTGCCATGTGGGGGCTCTGTAGACCAGGCTGGCCTTGAGCTTGAGATCTGCCTGTCTCTGCCTCCCGAGTGCTGGGATTAAATGTGGGAGCCACCACTGCCTACCCAGCTAATATTTATTTGTGTATTTTTAATGGTGTATACTCATATGGGTGTGTGTATGAGCATGAGTGCGGTTGCCCACAAAGGCGGGAAGAAGACATTGGACCCTTTGGAACTGGAGTTACAAGCATTTGTAAGCTGTGTGACGTGAGTGATGGACACCACATTTGGGTCCTCTGGATAAACAGCAGTGCTCTTGAGGTTTGAGCCATTTGTCCAGCTCCGTAGTTCTTTAAGCTTCTTTTTTTTTTTTTTTTTTTTTTTTTTTTTTGGTTTTTCAAGAAAGGGTTTCTCTGTGGCTTTGGAGTCTGGCCTGGAACTCGCTCTGCAGACCAGGCTGGCCTCGAACTCACAGAGATCCGCCTGCCTCTGCCTCCCGAGAGCTGGGATTAAAGGCGTGCGCCACCAACGCCCGGCTTTTGTTTTTTAAATATATATTTTATTTATTATGTATACAGTGTTCTGCCAGAAGAGAGAACCAGATCTCATTATAGATGGCTGTGAGCCATCATGTGGTTGCTGGGAATTGAACTCAGGTCCTCTGGAAGAGCAGCCAGTGCTCTGAACCTCTGAGCCACCTCTCCAGCCCCGAGCTTCTTGTTTTAAAGTGACTTTGCATGGACAGACAAACAGCAGGCGTGGTACTGGAGGCTTCGGTGTGCCACTTGTGGTCTTGATCACACATTGCGTTTGGCCCGTATGTGTCTGTCTCTCACTCAGCTAACACCGTGTCCATATCCACTGAGTGGTCCCTGCTGTGCAATGCCAATCTTCTGGCGACGATGGTGGTATAGCCTCTGATCCAGCACTTGGGGGTCTGAATCAGGAGTGTCATCAGTCCCAAACTAGTCTGAGCTATATAGTAAATTTAGGCCAGCCTGAGCTACATATGACAGTGTCTCAAGAAGTGGGCTGGTGATATGGCTCGGGGGTTAAGAGTGCTATCTACTCTCTCTGAGGACCCGAGTTCAGTTCCCAGTGTTGATGCGGCAGCCCATAACCATTTGTTAGTCCAGTTCCAGGGATGCGTTGCCCTCTTTTGACTGTCGCGTGCTCATACATGCATGCACGCAGGCAAATACCCACATGCATAGACCAAGTAAACCACTCCTTACAAGGTGAAGGAGACCGATGTCAGGGACAGGGACAGGAACTGTCCCTCACTGGGGCACCTACTTACCCAGTACAGGGTTCAGCATTCCATCCTCAGTGTGGACTACATTAATGGTGTTGTCATCCTGGTAATGTGATCCAGATAACACCGGAGCCCCAGGAAGAGGTGGGCGCCCGGGGCCCTGTGGCACTTTCCGGCCAGGACGAGCCGCAGCTTAGGTCCTTCCCTGCCTGCGCTGTGGCTGCTCCATGCACTGGCTGGCTAGAGGCAGGGCCCCTGGCTCCCTGACCCAGGTTTGGCTGCCGTCTAGAGAGCCAGCCCGTTGTCCCTTCCCTTCTCAGAGCCCAACTTGGGAGAAGATGATGAGGACAAAGACTTGGAGCCTGGCTCATCAGGGACTTCGAAGGCCTCAGCCCAGATCTCAGGCCAGTCAGACACGGACATCACCGCTGAGTTCTTGCAGCCTCTGCTGACGCCTGACAACGTGGCCAATCTGGTGAGGAGGCTGAGGTGGTCCCAGGGATGGGAGCCCCGATTCCAGTTCTTTTCCTGCCATGCATGCTGGCCACCTCCTGGTAGCATCAGCAGAGGGTCCCTCCCACCCTGGATGGGCCTCTCCCCTCGCCCTCCTCCTCCCAGAGGCCATTTTCCTCATTATCCCACCCCCATTTACTCACTCTGTTCTTTGGTGTGGGGGCTCTCCCAGATGGACAGCCCAGTGGTCATTGTTTTCCCAGAGAGCTGAGACAGGGAGAGCAGGCCCAGCCCCGCCTCAGTTCCCGCTGCTCTTCCCATGCTGGCTAAGGGTTCCCTTCCCCGGGCATCCCGCAGGTCCTCATCAGCATGGTGTACCTGCCCGAGACCATGCCTGCCTCCTTCCAAGCCATCTACACCCCGGTGGAGTCTGCAGGTACCGAAGCCCAGATCAAGCACCTGGCTCGGCTCATGGCCACACAGATGACAGCTGCAGGACTGGGCCCTGGTGAGTCGTGTGCTGAGCCAGGCCAGGCCTTGGCACTGGATGCTCCTTCTGGAAAAGCTGTGCAGATGAAGGTCACCGTGTTCCTCTCATGGGTCCATCAGCATGCAGAGTGCTCAGTGTCTTCAGGTCCCAGGGTTTGAAACCCAACAGACTTCACCTTGAGGCCCAGGCTGAGCCAGACCGGCTGTGTCAGTTACTGAGACTCTGAGCTTTGGAGTCCTTTCCTCGTTTCATCAATAGTTTTGTTTTGTGTGTGTGCCCTCAGGCCAGGAGAGGGCGTCAGGAGAGACAGGAATCACAAGAGGTTGTGGGTGTCAAGCAAGCTCAGGTCCTCTGCAAGAGTAGCAGTCCAGGATTTTGTCTTTTTTGTTTTGTTTTTTTGGTTTTTTGGTTTTGTTTTGTTTTGTTTTTTGAGACAGGGTTTCTCTGTATTATTTTGGAGGCTGTCCTGGAACTGGCTCTGTAGACCAGGCTGGCCTCGAACTCACAGAGATCCGCCTGCCTCTGCCTCCCGAGTGCTGGGATTAAAGGCGTGCGCCACCACCGCCCGGCGTCTTTTTTTTTTTTTAAGATTTATGTATTTATTATGTATACAGTGTTCTGTCTGCATGCATGCCTGCAGGCCAGACAGCAGCATCAGATCTCATTACAGACGGTTGTGAGCCGCCACGTGGGTGCTAGGATTTGAACCCCGGTCCTCTGGAAGAGCAGCCAGTGCTCTTAACCGCTGAGCCATCTCTGCAGTCCAGGGTTTTGTCTTATTTAGTTATTAATGTACACAGTGTTCTGCCTGCATGTCTGCCTGCAGGCCAGAAGAGGCTCATTACAGATGGTTGTGAGCCACCATGTGGGTGCTAGGATTTGAACCCCGGTCCTTTGGAAAAGGAGCCAGTGCTCTTAACCGCTGAGCTATCTCTAGCCCCCGGATCTTGTCTTCTTTAAGACCAGATGTTGTTGTGCAACCCATGCTGGCTTCTAATTTGCACCAGTCTCCCTGCCTAGTCTCCCGAGTGCTGGAATTATAGGTGTGAACCACCCTTGGCACCAGCATGTTCTTTGAAGTATAAATTATGAACAGTGACACAAGCGCAACTCCAGTGTCAATGTGGCCTTGAGCTTCACAGAGGTTTTTTTTTTTTCCACTTTATGTGGGTTCCAAAGACTGGACTCAGCTCCCCTTTACCCTCTGAGCCATTGCCCCAACCCTTGTTTCAGAACTTGGTGTCGTGAGCACAGCTGCTGTGGACAGTGGCTTGAATCTTTGGTATGCTCAGGTTTTTCCCTGACTGTGCTCCAAGGAATGGCGTGGTCGAGTCACGTGGCCTCTGCTTTTAAAGCCTGTTTTTCGTGAGGATGCCCGCGTGGCACACACCTGTCATCCCAGGAAGTGGAGGCAGGAGGATCAGAGGTCATCCTTGGATTCACAGTGAGTTTGAGGACAGCCTGGGGTGCATGAGACCCTAACTCAAACCCCAAATGGGCTGGTACGGCAGCTCGTGAGTAAAAGTATTTGCTGCCAAGCCCAGAACCTAGGAACGAGAAAACCTCACCCATGCACCGCGGCATGAGTATGTACATCCCTGTACAAATGAAGGTATTTTACCCAAAGAAGCTGGGGAGCTGGCTCAGTGGGTGCGTGCTTGCTGTGTAAGCATGAGGCTTGTGCTCCGATCCCTACCATCCACAGAAAAGCCGAGGTGGTGCGCACCTGTAACCCCAGCACTGGATGAAGGCACACGCAGGCTGGTCCTGGGGATCTTCCTAAAACAGCCAGCTCTGGGTTCTGTTGGTGACCCTGTCTTAAAAAATCAAGTTACATAGCTCAGAGGCAGAGGTGCCGGCTGCCACACCCAATGACCTGAGTTTAACCCTGGGGACTCATTTCGGGAACCAGCTCCACGGAATTGTCCTGTAGTCTCTGTATACATACACATGCACACTGCATAAATAAAAGGTAATGGTTAGAAAGAAAAGCTAGGCGGGACACACGTCTAACCTTGGCACTCAGGAGGCAGAGGCAGCAGATCTCTGCGTTTGAGGCCAGCCTGGTCTACAGAGTGAGTCCAGGCTGGCCAAGATACACAAAGAGATCCTGTCTCAATAAAAAGAGTAGAGCCAGGCAGTGGTGGCGCACGCCTTTAATCCCAGCAATTGGGAGGCAGAGGCAGGGGGATTGCTCTGAATTCAAGACCAGCCTGGTCAACAGAGGGAGGTCTAGGACAGCCAGAGCTACACACAAGGAAACCCTGTTTTCAGAAAACAACACACACACACACACACACACACACACTTCCACGTGCCTGCACAGTCGAGCACACCAACACATGTCACGCGCATACTACATAGGCGAATGTCACACAGACTTACACTAAGAGAGAGAGAGAGCTTGTGGCATATCTCGATGGCTGTGACATTGGCTGTGCCTCCAGGCATGAAGCCCTCCAGCTGAACCCCCGGGTCGTGTTGCTGGGTGGGCTACACGGAGGGCACCGTGCGTGCGTGCGGGGCAGAGCCTGGGGTGCAGGTGATGGAGCCGCGGCCGCTCGGCTGCTTCCCTTCAGGTGTGGAGCAGACGAAACAGTGCAAGGAGGAGCCCAAGGAGGAGAAGGTGGTGAAGCCCGAGAGCGTCCTGATCAAGCGGCGCCTGTCCGCGCAGGGCCAGGCCATCTCTGTGGTGGGCTCCCTGAGCGCCATGTCGCCCTTGGAGGAGGAGGTGCCCCAGGCCAAGAGGAGGCCCGAACCCATCATCCCTGTCACACAGCCCCGGTGAGTCCTCGTCTAGTCGGGACATGGGTTCCACCCTGCGAGCAGGTACAGGGCTGGGCCAGGCTCTCCCTCTGCTTCGGAGTCGGTGCAGGCAGTGCTTGTGCGAGTCTGCAGCCTCATCGCCTTTCCAGTCTTGCCTTGGGAGAGCGGTGGGCTTCCTCACAGGCGGAGGCCCTAGGTTAGAGAACTCCTGGTGCCACCAGTCATGGTGACAGTGAGGTTCCTGATGTGCAGCAGGGACTCCTGGTCACCATCACTTTACCCCAAAGTCAGTCTCCACCCCACCTGAGCATCCAGTGTATCTGCTCCCTTGCAGCCTCTCGCTCCCCTTCCCCCATTCCATCTGCCCCGCCCGCAGCGAGCCCCGCCCAGGGTCTTTGTGCTGACTCCTGTCCCGCTGAGCCCCTTCTGGTCCCTGCCTGCTGTCATAGGAAGACACCTCCTTGGCAGAAAGAGTCACCGCTCCTTCCCCTCTCTGTCTTCGTGCTGTGCTGAGCCTCACTGGGAATTCACAGCTGGAGAGGGGCTGTGTCTCTGTATGGCCCAGTCCCTGAGCTGGGCCTCCAGACAGACTGGGCTGCGGAAAGCATGCCAAGTCACTGTCCCTGTCCTTGTGTAGGCTGGCGGGAGCTGGTGGGCGCAAGAAGATCTTCCGTCTCAGTGACGTGCTGAAGCCCCTAACGGATGCCCAGGTGGAAGCCATGAAGCTGGGAGCTGTGAAGCGGATCCTGAGGGCTGAGAAGGCTGTAGCCTGCAGTGGGGCGGCCCAGGTGTGCCCGTGGTTTAGTGAACAGTCCCTGTGGCTCCGGCCCCCAGCTCCACCCAGCCACCCCTGCAGGATCAGAGCAGCAGCCTTTAGACAGTGAGGGCTTATGGGGTGGAGTGGGCAACTCTGCACGGGCTGGTCCTGCAGGGCTGGGTTTTAGTGGCCAGCTTTTAGAAATGTAATGTATTATATATGTGTTTGTCTGCATGAGTTTATGTGCGCTGTGTATGCACATGAGCCTGCAGAGGCCAGAAGAGGGCACCAGATTCCCTGCCACTGTAGTTACGGGAGTTGTGAGCTACCACGTGGGTGCTGGAAACCAAACTCAACTCCTCTGCAAGAGCAGCCAGTGTTCTTGACCATTGAACCGTATCTCCAGCCTTCATTTTTATGTTTTTGTTTGTTTTGTTGTTGTTTTTGGCTATCTTCAAACTCGCTTTGGAGACTCACAGAGATCCGCCTGCCTCTGCCTCCCAAGTGCTGGGATTAAAGGCGTGCTCCATCATGCCTGGGTTTTTCTTTCATTTTAAGAGAGAGAGAGGGAGTTGTTTGATGTGGACACTTTTGTCTCTGCACCTAGCATGAGCAAGGGCCATGACTTTCATCCCCAGCCCACAAAAGACTGTTCTGGACGATACACACACCCTGTACTCTCTTGGTTGTCACCCACATCCTGTCCATGCCTAGAGGTGACAAAAAGAATCTTTAGGTCTTATCCTGTACACTGAAGTACCTGGGTGTTACTTAGTGACTCCAGGAGCTTGGGGTGGCTTGGTGACAGTTGACAGTGTTTCTTCCTCATCCCTGCCACACAGGGTTATCCTGCCGTGTGTGCTTCATGGGCCCTCCTTGCTTGAGAGAGTGGGTGAGCGAGTGGGTGGATGGGTGAGTGAGTGAGTGGGTGAGTGATTTGGTTTTCTAGAGAAGGCCTCACTCTCCTCAGGCTGGCCTTGAACTTGAGCAGTCTGGGTGCTGGGAATGTAGATGTTAGCCGCTATCCCACATTGAATGGTGCTTACCCTGGAGGTCCCTGGACCAGGCAACAGAAGTGCAAGGCATGATTGAAGAGGGCCCCGGTGGCTGGGCCGTACTCACTGACTTGCTCACCTACCCCCAGGCGCGCATCAAGATTCTGGCCAGCCTCGTAACACAGTTCGACTCTGGACTCAAGGCGGAGGTGCTGTCCTTCATCCTGGAAGATGTCCGGGGCCGCCTGGACCTGGCTTTCGCCTGGCTCTACCAGGAGTACAATGCCTACCTAGCAGCGGGGGCTTCAGGCACTCTGGACAAGTATGAGGACTGCCTCATCCGCCTGCTCTCTGGCCTGCAGGAGAAGCCGGACCAGAAGGATGGGTGAGGGCTTGATGGAAAGCCCAGCCCCCTCCAGTGCCCACCTCCCCTTCTTCAGTGCCCCCAAACTTGCTCTCCCCACGTGCCCCTCTCCTCCCCTTCCAGTTCCTGCAGGAACCTGTGCCCACCGTGCTGTGGGGGTCTTGGGTGGTGTCCATCAGGCTCATTTCCTGCTCTGCTACTTGGTGTGGAGGACCTGCCACCCTCTGGGCTTCTGGTTCCCATCTGTACCAACAGTTCCCAGGATGGGACGGTGGCTGGGCGGTAGAGTACATCCCTAGCACACAGGGAGCCCTGGGTTCCAGCCCTGGTTGTACAAAAGGAAGAAGGCCTCAGGGAGGGAGCGTCTCCCACCGTGTGTGCCCGCCTGAGGCTCTGGAGACACTATGCCGTGGGGCCGTGGGATGCGCGTCTCCAGCGAGACCCGTGTGTGTCTTGGGCAGGGTCTTCACCAAGGTGGTTTTGGAGGCCCCGCTGATCACGGAGAGCGCCTTGGAGGTGATCCGCAAGTACTGTGAGGATGAGGTAAGTGGGCTGCAGCAGGCAGGAGGATCGGGAGGCCTGTGCTGTAGAGCGGGAGGCAGGCGGCGTGACAAGGGGGAGGCAGCGGGCCAGGCTGAGCACCGCCCTCCCCTGCAGAGCCGCGCCTACCTGGGCATGTCGACACTGGGAGACCTGATCTTCAAGCGCCCGTCCCGCCAGTTCCAGTACCTGCACGTCCTCCTGGACCTCAGCTCCCATGAGAAGGACAGGGTGAGCAGTGCCCACAGCCAGGCAGCCTGGCCTTCCTCTCCTCCAGACTGGCTTCCGTCTACCGCGGCTTGACATCACCATGGCTTCAGGGCCGCTGTCCTGACCCGGAGTGTACGCCCTCAAAGCAGGGCGGGCATGCTCACTCTCCTTCACTCCTGTTGGCGAACTGGGGCCTGGGGGCAGTAGAGGAACCCATGTGACCTCAGCTATCACAGTATACGGTACCTAGGCACCCACCTGTGTAGACAAGGCATGAGGGTCAGGAAGTTTCCTGGAGGAGGAGACGTGAAATGACCATAACACTTAGTAGCCGTGCCCTACATGAGTCCTTGCTACAGCTGAAAAGGGCCCTGGACCCACACCCCATAGCCTGTCACCAGCGCCCCCCTAGACCCAAGCCCCCGTAGCCTGTCACCAGCGCCCCCCTGGACCCACACCCCATAGCCTGTCACCAGCGCCCCCCTGGATCCATGCCCCGTAGCCTGTCACCAGCGCCCCCCTGGACCCACACCCCATAGCCTGTCACCAACGCCCCCCTGGATCCATGCCCCGTAGCCTGTCACCAGCGCCCCCCTGGACCCATGCCCCGTAGCCTGTCACCAGCGCCCCCTGGACCCATGCCCCGTAGCCTGTCACCAGCGCCCCCCTGGACCCATGCCCCGTAGCCTGTCACCAGCGCCCCTGGACCCATGCCCCGTAGCCTGTCACCAGCACCCCCTGGACCCATGCCCCGTAGCCTGTCACCAGCGCCCCCTGGACCCATGCCCCGTAGCCTGTCACCAGCGCCCCCTGGACCCATGCCCCGTAGCCTGTCACCAGCGCCCCCCTGGACCCATGCCCCGTAGCCTGTCACCAGCGCCCTCTGGACCCATGCCCCGTAGCCTGTCACCAGCGCCCCCCTGGACCCAAGCCCCCGTAGCCTGTCACCAGCGCCCCCTAATGGTAGGTGATCAGGCAGCACACATTAGCGTAGCACTTCTGGCCCTGGCCCTGTGCTATTGCAAACACGTGCTGAAGACCAGACCCTGACCTCGTGGGTGGCAGATGGTGTCTGAGTGAAGCGAGGCTTAGCCAGTGACGTGTGTTCTGGGCAGTGGGCGGCCTGACCTGCCAAAGCCGAGGTCACTGGTGAGGAATGAGGGGGCAGGGCAGGGAGCAGCGAGGTAGCTGGGACTGAGAAGTGACATGCTGGCAGCCGGAGGCGCGCGTCACTGCTGTCCTGGGCCGCGGGCTGGGCTTGTGACCGTCAGAGGAGTGCAGCTGTTTGCACGCGCCCGCTCTCCCCTCAGGTGCGCTCCCAGGCTCTGCTCTTCATTAAGCGCATGTATGAGAAGGAGCAGCTTCGAGAGTATGTGGAGAAGTTCGCCCTCAACTACCTGCAGCTCCTGGTTCACCCCAACCCGCCCTCAGTGCTCTTCGGAGCTGACAAGGACACAGGTTTGATGCAGGTTCATCTGCTTTGTGTCGGGCTCCACCCAGCCTACTAGAATGGCTGCTGGACAGTGGCGAGCAGGCCAAGACAGACAGGCGACTGCGGGTTGACAGTGAGGGCCCAGTGTGGAGAGTAGTGGGTCCCACGTGGACTGCCCCTTCAGTCCCTGACAGATGGCCAGTGTGAGGACATTGATGTTGAGGCCATAACTGTGACAGGACTTGGAGGATACAGGGCTAACTTTGCGCTAGAATGACCTTCTAGCTGCCTTTGGGCTTGGTGGGTGGAGGTGGTGGGGGCGTCCTGGTCTTTCTCCTCTTCCTCCCTCTTCCCACTGACTTCATGGAGAAGGCACGGACACTAGGGACAGGGCTTTGGGAAGAAAATATGGGCCTTTATTGATGCATGGCCTTGTCCTGTCAGAGGTGGCCGCGCCCTGGACGGAGGAGACAGTGAAGCAGTGTCTATACCTCTATCTGGCTCTCCTGCCTCAGAACCACAAGCTGATCCACGAGCTGGCGGCCGTGTACACTGAGGCCATCGCCGACATCAAGCGGACCGTGCTGAGGGTCATCGAGCAGCCGGTGAGGCTTCTGAGCCCACCCGGGCGGGACTCGTCCCCGACTCCAGCTGCTCCTCGGGTGTCTGTCTCAGTAGGCTGCAGGGGCTGTCATCTGGGTTCCTGGCTTTGGCTTGGGTGGCACTTATAGAGCCTGGAGTGGGCGCCCGGGCCTCACGCTGGGCATTTGCTCTTCACACTGCACCCTGACGTGAAGGGTGACATCAGTTCCCAGGCAGGGCCACATTAGCGTCTCAGCACCGATTACCGCGGCAGCTGGCCTTCCCCTGTGCTGTTAGCGGAAGCCCCGAGCCCCATGGCCACCTCATGAAAGCAGTTCAGATGCTAACCCTGCTCTGCTGGACTCAGAGCCCTTTGCTTTATGTCCTGGCTCTGCTCTGCTATTTGAGCACGTCTCATTTTCTAGAAACCCTCCTGCCTCAGCCTCCTGTGTGCATAGCCTGCCCTCTGACGTTTTTATCACTGTAAAACGCCAGGTAGAAATGGAGGGACAGGGCAGGGCGAGGCTCTTACCTACGGTGCCGTAGCCCAGTGCTGAGGAAAAGGAAGTGGCAGGCGGGTTCTGAGGTTGCGCGCCTCAGTGTCTTCACACCGTAGGTGAGGGTGCCCGGGGCAGCCAGCACACTCCCTGCTCTATGCTCGCTGAAGCTGCTGCCCAGGTCTAGCCTGCACCCTCTGCCAGGCTGGGATGGCGGTGGTTGCGGGAGGGTGGGCAGGGACCAGGAAAACCTCCCTAGGCATTGCCACACAGGTTGGGCATGGAAGGCTTGCGACACTTGGGTCACTGACCTGCCAGAGAAAACCCCACACATGGAGAGCTCTGAGAAACGCACAGCCCAGTGACCTTAAACACTCCAGCTTCTGCAGCCTCCCCGGATGCTCTCCATAACCTGGTCTTGCTGCCCTCACCTAGATCCGAGGGATGGGCATGAACTCGCCAGAGCTGCTACTGCTGGTGGAAAACTGCCCCAAGGGGGCGGAGACGCTGGTCACCCGCTGCCTGCACAGCCTCACGGACAAAGGTGCCTGGGCCCCGCCTTCCACCCCCCCTCCCCCCCCAAGAGCTGGAGCTAAGGCCCCCAGTGACTAACCCGTGGTGGAGAAGAGCCATGTGAGCTGCACTCAGGAAAGGAGGATGGGGATCCTGCTCTGGAATCGCACTGCCCTCCCCACGCCCACAAAACCCTCCCGTATCGTATGCCTGTCTCCTGCGTCCTCCCTGTCACTCCAACCCTGCTCTCTGTCTTCCTGAAGTGCCGCCGTCCCCAGAGCTGGTGAAGCGGGTCCGAGACCTGTACCACAAGCGGCTGCCTGATGTGCGCTTCCTCATCCCTGTGCTCAATGGGCTGGAGAAGGTAGGGCAGGGTAGGGGCGAGCCTGCTTCCCCGGTAGATGGGCCAGAGGCTTGTGAGAGCCGGGTCTCAAGGCTGTGCCCCTAGGGAGTGCTGGGGCCAGTGCAGGCGGAGATGGGGATGACACTGTCCACCAGAGGAAGGCAGCAGCTTTGGGGAGACAGACATAAGGCTTAGGGGCTTCACTGGGGTGAGTGGGTGCAGAGTGGGGGGCTCTCCAAGCCCATCATCACCCTCCTCTCCCCATCCCTTCCTCCTCAGAAAGAGGTGATCCAGGCGCTGCCCAAGCTCATCAAACTCAACCCCATCGTGGTGAAGGAGGTCTTCAACCGCTTGCTGGGTACCCAGCATGGTAGGTGCCCTCCCTCCCAGCCCCAGGTCTTACCTGATTTCTCAGGCTGAGCCAGGGGCCATTTTGTCCACTGTGGTAAGAAATAAGAAAAGTATTTGAGGGAGATCACCCGTGATGTGGATGAGTTCCTCATCCTGGTCCCTGTGGCCACAGTTTAGGACACAGTGGAAGGACATGGGACTCGATGGCGTGACTGGTCTTCCCTCCCATAGCTAACGGCCTTTTTCCCCTCTTTCCCCCGGCACAGCAGAAGGTTCGAGCCATTAGCATTTAGTGAGACCCTGCCCTGCGCTGTCCTGTAGCTGCCTGTGACCGTGGGCTGTGTCCCATCAGGACTGGGATGGCTGAGCCCAATCTTGTCTCAGGCAACACAACCCAGTGGGGACAGGGGGGCCATGGCAAGGCAGCTCTAAGAAGTGGGGGGACTTCAGACTCCTCCATCCTGTCCCCAGTCCCCATGGAGCAGAGGGTGCCTTCCTGTATCTACTGAGAGCCACCTCTTTGCTGAGGCCTCTACCCACTGCAGGTGAAGGGAACTCGGCCTTGTCCCCCCTGAATCCGGGAGAGCTGCTGATTGCACTGCACAACATTGACTCAGTGAAGTGTGACATGAAGTCCATCATCAAAGGTGAGGCACCCCGTCCCCACACGGCCCAGCCCCCATGAACTGGGACAGGGCCTCAGTCACCCGCATGGCCCCATGGGATTGAAGACTATTGCCTGCTGCTGTGCCTGCCCCGTCTTGGCCTCTGTAAGGCCCATACACAGCTGTGCCTTGGCATCAGGTGGTTCTTGGGAATGAGGGCCGTCCCTCCCACACTACCTGAGGGACTCAACGAAGCAGGGCCACGGAGCACGTCAGAGGCACCAGGGCCTCTGCTGCGTGAGTGGGGGCAGCGGAGGACCTCCATAGCAGGGACTGCCTCTGAGCAGGCTCTCTCTTCACGCCCCAAGCCCACCCCTGCCTCCCACATGGCTCTCGGTAAGTATGGTGTAGGCAGGCACAGAGTTCACACAAACCAGCCATGTAACCCAGCCTGAGCAAAGCAGACCCACACCAAGAAGGCTCTGCCCGTGAGGCTCCCTGGGAAGACACCGGCATTTCCCTCCTTTCTCCCTTCCCCAGAGACTTCGGGGCCACAGTCAGCTCCGTCCCTGGAGGGGCCCTGCCCGCTACCCTGCCTCTCTCTGTCCCTCCCTTTCCTGTTCTGGCCTGGAGTGGCTTCTTCAGGCACTGCGTTCCTGGCCTCCCTCAGCAATCCTAACGGGAGGGCCTGTGAGGATAGGCAGAGGAGTCCGCAGGCCAGGGGAGGACTCGGGCAGTCTCAAAGGTGGTCCAGGGCTGTGGGCTTTAGCCTCTCACACAGGAATGAACCCAGAGCCCCGGATGGGCTAGGCACTAGCACACCTCCCTTCTAGCTCTGTTAAATGCAATGGGAACGATCCTGTCCCCGTAGCCTGGTCCCAAGGGCTGCGTGTTCATCACATAGTTTGTGCGTAATTGGACACACACACACACACTCACACACTCACACAGCCATGTTGGATCCAGAATAGAAGTCCAGTCACAAAGGGGAGAAGGGTCCTGCCAAAAGCTACACAGGTAGCAGGCAGTTCACGACCTCCCAGCTGTCTGTCTGCTCAAGTGAAGTCCCGCCCTCCCTGGGTTCTGTGAAATCCCAACACAAGACACAGTGCTGGGTACACGGTTAGGACATTGGCAGCCCGATCTGGCCTGCCTGGGACTCGGGAAGGGCTTTCTGAAGTGGGGTCAGGGACCAGGTGACAGCTGAGCCTGCCTGGCCCGTGCTGGGACCGAGCAGAGGCTCCAGATGAGCGGAACCTGGCTTTAGCCTCGTGCAGCCCTCTGGGATGGACGACAGCTTGGGCTGCCGGATGGAGAGGGTTAGAGCCCGGTGGGAAGTCACCAAGAGGCTGGGTGGGCTCTGGCTTCAGGGCCCGTTTGGGCAGCAGTGCAGCGAGCCTTCGTAGAGGAACAGGCACCTCTTCATCTGACAGGCCTCTCTGCCCTCCAGCCTGTGCATCTACGGCAGTGTCCCCTCTCTCTTTGGGCCGCCTCCTTACAGGACCACCCTCCCCTCCGTTGGCTTCTCAGAGATTTGTGAGGGGGAGGCTTCCTTCTGGCTCAATAAAGACTTCCTGGTTGACACACTCACATGGCCAGTGGTGTTTGGGAAGGACTTCGGGGCAGCTCCTGGGCTCTCCCCTTAGCCCCGCTGGCCCTAACATTGCCACCCACTCCCGGGAGCTAGACCTCAAAGCCTGCTCCAAGCTTTCTTCAGGGTGACATCTCCGCATCCTGTAGGCACTGCTACTCCATTGGGTCCTCATCCTGGGTCGGGCCCTCACCACTACCTCTTACCCTCTCTTGCCTGTTGCTCTCCTAAGTGTCCCTTGTCATACCTGCCCTGCACCGTCACAGACCCTAATGCCTTTGGTCAGCCTTCTGGCTGTTTCTTCTGGGGATGCTAGGGTGTCAGCAGCTCCTACCACTCCCCTAAATGGGTTACAGCCACCCTTCTTAGGCCGTGACAGGCCCCAGGGCTTGGCAGCGAGCTGTCTACCCCACTCCCCAGGGCTGTCTGTCCACTGGGAAGAGGTCGGGTGTCACAGACCACAGGGTATCTATCCGGGGGTTGGGCACACCTATCTCCATCTTCCTGGGGCAGGACCGTTGAACATCCCCATAAAGGGCCGTTGTGGTAGGGGTGGAGAAGTTTGGGGGGTGGGGTTCCCACTTCCTGGGGAACATCCCGGCAGAGGGGACAGGCCACTCTCCGCCTCCTCACAGCCACCAACCTGTGCTTTGCGGAGCGGAATGTGTATACATCGGAGGTGTTAGCCGTGGTGATGCAGCAGCTGATGGAGCAAAGTCCCCTGCCCATGCTGCTCATGCGGACCGTCATCCAGTCCCTGACCATGTACCCCCGCCTGGGGGGCTTCGTCATGAACATCCTGGCCCGGCTCATCATGAAGCAGGTAACCCGCCCTGGCCCCAGGCAGTGCGCGCCTGGGGCAGATCTCGCTGCCCTGCCCTGCCGGGTGGCAGGATCCTGTCTCTGGATGGCCTCCCTGCCGAGAGCTGTGTCCCTCCACCCCTTCCTCCTGGCTACTGGGTGACCCGGGAGAAGAGTTAGGGATACCAGAGGTGTGGGTGCCTCCCATTACCCCACCCCTAGGCCCTGCGGGGCATGTAGCTCAGCTGGAAACATCTGGTCTTTGTAGGAACTGGAATGGGGGGGGTTGTGTTTTAGTGAGAGTCTTGCCACCACGTGTCCCAGGATAACCAAAAACTCAGATTTGCGGTGATTCTCCTGCCTCAGTCTTCCTCGTGGTGGGATTGCAGGCAGGCAGGCAATACCAGCTTCTAGAATACTCTATGGAAGAAGTTCCATCCTCCATCCCAAAGCTGGGTTCAGACCCCAGGCTGGCCCTGTGTAAGGTCTGCCAGAGGTCCTTGCACCTCCAGTCTGTTTGTTAGCTGGGTGGCGGTGGCTGTGAGAGCATGAGGTGGTGCTGTCCTAGCCCTTGGGGCTGTGCTGACCTAGGGGCTGGGGGCGGGGTCACGTCCTAGTCGTCTCCTGGGCAAGCCTGGAGCAAGCTCTCAAGTGGCGCCACGTGGGTGGTCATGGCAGTGTCTGCGGGGTGGAGGTGGCTGCTTGGGCCTTCACCTAACGGCCCCCTCCCGCCCCACAGGTGTGGAAGTACCCCAAGGTATGGGAGGGTTTCATTAAGTGCTGCCAGCGCACCAAGCCCCAGAGCTTCCAGGTCATCCTGCAGCTACCTCCGCAGCAGCTTGGTGCGGTCTTTGACAAGTGCCCTGAGCTCCGCGAGCCGCTGCTGGCCCATGTGCGCTCCTTCACCCCGCACCAGGTACCTGGGCAGTGAGCCGAGCCAAGGAGCAGGAGGGCTCTGGAGGGTTCGGGTTGCGGGGTGCCGAGAGGTGCCTCTGGCCAGAGCGCTCCGCAGCTCCAGCCCCCGCCTTTCCCTTCCCCTAGCAAGCACACATCCCCAACTCCATCATGACCATCCTGGAGGCCAGCGGCAAACAGGACCCCGAAGTCAAGGAAGCACCTGCAGGGCCCCTGGAAGAGGTGAGGGCAGGGTGGCCCACCTGCCTGTGTCTCTCACCCCCGAGAAGCCCGGCTGCTAAACCCGCATTCTCCCAAGATTGCATTCCCGGTGAAGGGAATCCACCCTCCCTGGGATGGAGAAGCATGCAGTGCGCCCTCCCTGCTGTCTGCAGCTCGGGGGCCCCTGTCTCCTCCGTGGGGGGGGGGGTGCGCCCTTCCTGAGCTGAGTGCCTCTCCCACCCCAGGATGACCTGGAGCCCTTGCCTTTGGCTCCGGCCCCTGCTCCTGCTCCGCGGCCCCCTCAGGACCTCATCGGCCTGCGATTGGCTCAGGAGAAGGCCCTGAAGCGGCAGCTAGAGGAGGAACAGAAGCTGAAGCCCACGGGCCTGGGAGTGCCCGCGCCCTCCGCCTCCTCCATGCCCGCGGTGGGGCCGGCAGCCCGAGCCGCTCCCGCCGCAGCCGAGGAGGCCATGGAGTACCGGGAGGAGGGCCCTGAATGCGAGACCCCGGCCATCTTCATCAGCATGGACGATGACTCGGGGCTGGCCGAAAGCACGCTCCTGGACTCCAGTCTCGAGGGTCCCCTGCTCAAGGTAGGGGACAGCTGGGGCCGCAGAGGGAGGCTGGGGCTGGGGGGCGCAGCCCGCTCCTGACCCGCCGCCCCTTGCCTTCTCCCGCCACCAGGAGGCAGCAGCAGTCGGACCCAGCTCCAAGGATGAGCGGAGTCCCCAGAGTCTCAACCACGCCGCGGAGGAAGCCTTGACGACCTCCAGCCCGGACGCCAGGGAACCCGAGAGCAAGGCCAACAGCTGACAGCTGCGGGGGCTTGGGGGGGAGGGGCGGGGTGGGCCACCTAGAGCTGTGCCTTAACATAAATAAAGGGAGTGGCACTCGGCTCGGCTGCGGTGTGGTCTCTGGGCGGCGGAGCAGACACTTGTCGAGCCGGCCGGAGCCAGTACCCGGCTGCGCATGCGCACACGCAGCTGCCGTCTGCGGGCGCCCGCGCTGGGAAAGTAACGGCAGGCGGGGTGCGGGCGCCGCCAGCCCTGGCTAGCCCTCCTCCGGCAGGTCCACGCACTGTGGAGACATGGGGGAGCCACCGCCCAACGCTGACCCCTCGTCCCAGGACCGGAGGACTTCCCAGGGCTCCGAGAGGACTCGCAGTCGACAGTACTCGCAGCCTCTGCTAGGCATCCCCGAGGATGGCGGCCACCAGCCTCCGCCCCCGCCTCCGCAGCGGGGCAGCCGGGGCAGTCAGGGCAGTCAGGGCACCGGCCTGCCGCACTGGTCTCAGAGGTCCAGCCTGATCCCAGAGGACCAGAGCGAGGAGGGCACGGACTACACCCGCTCCATGAGCTTGGGCTACCCACCCGGCTTCCCCGCGGAGCTCTCGGCGCAGGCTTACACGGACGAGGACAGAATGATGCAGCAGTTCCCTCGGGGCCTCTTGGAGCAGCTGGAGACCTCCTACCAGGACCCGGGGGCCAGCCTCCTGGGCCCGTTCAGCATGTACCCCAGCGAGGACCAGACGACGCAGCACGGGCCGTACCTGAGGGACGACCCCACCCTCCACCTCGGGCCCTCGGGCCTGGGCTTCATGCCCTTCGTGGGAGAGGTGCCTGACCCCGAGCCCCGCGAGCTGGCGGTGCAGAACGCCAAGGCCTACCTGCTGCAGACCAGCGTGAACTGCAACCTCAGCCTGTGAGCGGGGCTGGCGGGTGGCGGGAGCGGGAGCAGGCTGGGAAGGGCGCTAGCCCAGGCTGCCCCGGGTGTGGGGTCCCTGCGGGCATCTCACCTAGCCAGAGAGTTGAGGGAGGCCTGGAAAAGTGCCAGCCCACTCCAGCCTAACACGGAGTCGCGGGGGTTCACGCGGCTTCTAAGCCCGTTCCTGCAAGACACTGGATCAGAGAGGTTGGGTTGCTTATGGAAAGTCACACAGCCAAGAAGTGGTAGAGCCAGCAACGCGCAACGAGGCCGCCAGCTCCCAGGGCCCGGTTCTTGTCTGACGCCCCTGTCCGAGGGTGGTGGTCGGTCACTGAGCTGCAGTCGCGGTCCCCTCCCTCTTCCATGCGGTGCGGTACAGAGAATGAGAGATGAATGTTGGACGTGATGGAACCGACGAGAAAGGCTTAGGTGGTGGCCTAACAAGAGGAACCGTGGTCCCGGGATAGGGCACAGCCAGGCTTGGGGGGGGGCGCTGCTGTGTCTGGGACGCGGCGGGCCTGGCTGAGCCAATTCCACCCCTCCTGCGCTAAGAACGCGCCCCCTATCGACCGAAGGCGGACAGTGCACCCTGCTTGCACTCGTTACTTAGCTGTCTCGACCTCAGGCCCCGGATCCAGGCGAAGTTAACCTGTAGGTGTTCCGCCAACACGTTTCCAGTCTTGAGAGCTTCAGGGGTTCCTCCTGAAATACCCTGAGCAGTCTCGCTTCTTCTTTTTCCAAGGTTTCATCTTTATCTGTTTAACTCTGTGTGTGTGTGCGTGTGTGCGTGCGTGCGTGCGTGCGTGCGTGCGTGTGTGTGTGTGTGTGTGTGTGTGTGTGAAGCTACTTAACTCGAGTTTAGCCGTTGTGGGCTGCCTCGTGTAGTGTTGGCAACTGAACTCTGGTTCCCTGCTACAGCCATATGTCCTCTGAAGTAGAGAGCTGTCTTTCCAGCCCTTTCAAGATTTTAAAATAGTTAGGGGCTGGAGAGATGGCTCAGAGGTTAAGAGCACTGGCTGCTCTCCCAGAGGTCCTGAGTTCAATTCCCAGCAACCACATGGTGGCTCACAGACATCTGTAATGAGATCTGGTGCCCTCTTCTGGCCTGCAGGCGAAACACTAAACATAATAAATACATCTTTAAGAGCATTTATTGCTCTTGCAGAAGACTCAGGTTTGGTTCCCAGCACCCAGAGGGCAGCTCAGCTCCAGGGAATCCAACACCTTTCCAGCCCTGCAAGCATCAGGCATGCATGTGGTGTACATACATACATACATGCATGCATGCATGCATGCATATGGGCAAAGCAGTTGTACACATAAGAATACAATGAACTCTACATCGGAAAGATATTAATTTAGTGTGCTTGAGTGTTTTGCCTGCACGCATGTAAAGTGCACCACATACTTGCAGTGCCTTTGGAGGCCAGAAGAGGGCACTGGATCCTCCGAAACCGAATGGTTTTGAGCCACCATGTGGGTGCTAAGCACAGAATGGGGTGGGGGGAGCTGGCTAGAGAGGTGGCTCACAGGTTCAGAGCACTGGCTGCTCTCCCAGAGATCCTGAGTTCAATTCCCAGCACCCACATGGTGACTCACAACCATTCATAATGAGATCTGGTGCCCTCTTCTGGTGTGCAGGTGTATATGCAGGCAGAATTCTGTATACATAATAAATAAATCTTCAGAACAAAATAGAGTCAGGTCCTCTGCAAGAGCAGCCTGTGCTCTTAACCGCTGGGCCATCTCTCCGGTTCCCTCTAAATTACCTCTGTTATTTATTTTATGGCATTGGAGTTTGAACCCAGGGCCTCCTATAAGCTAGGCAAGCATTTTGCCCCTGGGCTCCCTGACCAGCCTCCTCTCTTACCTTCCTACTGCCAGAATGGGCCCTCCTCCACACTTGAGACTAGTCACAGACTGGTTTGCATTGCCGCAGAAAGGCTTGTATGAACGTTTGCATGAGACCAGCCTGGTTTCAAAGTGTGCTGAGCCAGATTTCCTAAACATTAGTTCCCTGGAAGGTTGGGTGGTATATGTGTGTGTCGGTAATGCAGCCAGGTGTTGGTGGCACACGCCTTTAGTCCCAGCACTCTGGAGGCAGAGGCAGGAGGATCTCTGTGAGTTCGAGGCCAGCCTGGTCTACAGAGCAAGTGCCAGGATAGGCTCCAAAGCAATACAAAGAAACCCTGTCTTAAAAAGCCAAAAGAAAAAAAGGAATTCAATAATGCTCTCAAATGCTCAGCCTGGTGCCTGGGCTGAGTGGATGGATGGAAGCCACCATGGGACTATGATCACTCTGGCTTCTTCTCCCTTATACTGTTTTGGTGACATTAAACTTCCATCTTCCAGTGTGCCAAGCACACACCCCCACCCCAGGATCTTCCTGCCACCCAGGCACTGTCTGTGAGCCTAAACAATTTTGTTCATTCTGTTGTCATCCATTTTCTTTTTTTTTTTTTTTTTTTTTTTTTTTTTTTGGTTTTTCGAGACAGGGTTTCTCTGTATTGTTTTGGAGGCTGTCCTGGAACTCACTCTGTAGACCAGGCTGGCCTCGAACTCACAGAGATCCACCTGCCTCTGCCTCCCGAGTGCTGGGATTAAAGGCGTGCGCCACCAACGCCCAGCTCATCCATTTTCTATTTTAATCCCTTTAAGTAAGCAGAATTTTTTTAAAGATTTATTTATTTTTTATGAATAATCCTGTCTCCATGTCTGTCTGCAAGCCAGAAGAGGGCACCAGATCTCCTTATAGATGGGTGTGAGCCACCATGTGGTTGCTGGGAACTGAACTCAGGATCTCTGGGAGAGCAGCCAGTACTCTTAACCTCTGAGCCATCTCTCCAGCCCCTAAGTGAGCAGAATTAATTAAAACTAACTCTACTGTAATCCCCTTTCCTTTTCATGCCTTACTGCATTGTCTATGGCCGCTTAATATTAAACAGAAATCTCGAGGTCAGATTGCATGTTTTGTTTTGTTTTGTTTTGTTTTGTTTTGTTGGTTTTTCCAGACAGGGTTTCTCTGTGGATTTGGAGGCTGTCCTGGAACCCGCTCGGTAGACCAGGCTGGTCTCGAACTCACAGAGATCCGCCTGCCTCTGCCTCCCGAGTGCTGGGATTAAAGGCGTGCGCCACCAACGCCTGGCCAGATTGCATGTTTAAGGGCAGCTTGGGCCACATATGAGACCCTGCTACAGAGAAGAAAGGAGGGAAGGACGCTTGGTACCCCACCCTGGCAATAGTCAGCCATCCGTGTGTCATCATCAGAATGCCAGTTCCACCAGGGCAGGGACTCCTGTGTCCTCAGCAGTAGACAGGGGACGGGGCGCTAAGCAGCAGGCTCAGGGCGCTGACCGCGTGGTGTCCTCCAACCCCCTCCGCTGCTGGGAGGCAGGTACGAGCACCTGGTAAACCTGCTGACCAAGATCCTGAACCAGCGGCCGGAGGACCCCTTGTCCATCCTGGAGACGCTGAACCGCAACACGCAGTGGGAGTGGTTCCACCCCAAGCTGGACACGCTGCGAGACGACCCCGAGATGCAGCCCACCTACGAGATGGCCGAGAAGCAAAAGGCCCTGTTCAGCAGGGGCGGAGGAGAAGGCGAGCAGGAGATGGAAGAGGAGGTGGTGAGTGAGCCGGTGTGGAGGGGGGGCGGGGGGGGCAGGGGGGGCGGGCGGGCGGGGATGCAAGAGTGGCTGGGGGACCGGCCTGTGCCACGGTCCGCGCTGGAGGTACAACAGGAGTGACTGGCCGGCAATACAGTATCGACTGCGCCTGCGGAAGGGACCTTGAGGGCGACCTGAAGCAGTATCTGGGACACCTTAACAAAAGCTTATTTTTAAAGGTCTAACCAGGGACTGGAGAGATGGCCTAGCACTTAAGAGCACCGACTGCTCTTCCAAGAGGACCTATATTTGTTTTTTTTGTTGTTGTTGTTTTTTTTTTACTATTTATTTATTGTGTATACAGTTTTCTGCCTGCATGCCAGCAGAGGGCACCAGATCTCATTCAAGGTGGTTGTGAGCCACCATGTGGTTGCTGGAAATTGAACTCAGGACCTCTAGGAAGAACAGTCAGTGCTCTTAACCGCTGAGCCATCTCTCCAGTCCTGTTTGTTTTTTTAAATTTTTTTTATTTAGAAACAATCTTATTTTACATATCAATCCCCCCCTCCCGTTCCCTCTCCCTCCCATCCTTCCATGCCACCCCCACTGATGCCCCAACTAATCTCCACCCAGGATAGTGAGGCCTTCCATGGGGGATCACCAAAGTCTGTCACATCATTTGGGGGAGGGCCTAGGCCTCCTCCGTCTATCTGGGCTGAAATAGTATGCCTCCATAGGGAATGGGCTCCCAAAGCCAGAAGGTCCTGGATAGCTGTTCTACAAACGCTAAAGGACCATGGATGCCTGCCCAGACTACTATACCCAGCTTTCAGTCACTATACATGGAGAAAACAAGATATTCTATAACAAAACCAGATTTAAGCAATAAATATCCACAAATCCAGCCACACAGAAAGTTCTAGAAGGAAAACTCCAACCCAAGGAAGTTAACTACACTCACAAAAACATAGGCAATAGATAATCCCACTTCACCAAAAGAAAAAGAGGGGGTGAAATCCACACACAATACCACCACCACCAAATCCAAAGCAAACAAGAATCAACAATGAATGGTCATTAATATCCCTGAATACCAATGGTCTTAACTCACCTATGAAAAGACACAGGCTAACAGAATAGATACAAAGACAGAATCCATGCTTCTGCTGCATACAGAAACACACCTCAACTTCAAGGACAGACGTTACCTCAGAACCAAGGGTTGGGAAAAGATTTTCCAATCAAATGGGCCCAAGAAACAAGCTGGTGTAGCTATCCTAATATCTAACAAACTAGACTTCAAACTAAGATCAATGAAAAGAGATGAAGTCTCAATTCTGAATATCTATGCCCCAAATACAAAGGCATCCACATTCGTAAAAGAAACATTAGTAAATCTCAAATCATACATAAAACCTCACACACTTATAGTGGGAGACTTCAACACCCCACTCTCAGCACTAGACAGGAATACCAGATAGAAACTAACAAAGAAACAAAGGAACTAACAGAAGTTTTGACCCAATTAGGTTTAACAGACATCTATAGAACATTCCATCCAAACACAAAAGAATATACCTTCTTCTCAGCACCACATGGAACCTTCTCTAAAATCAACCACATACTCAGCAACACAGCAAACCTCAACAGATACAAAAAATAAAAATAAAAAAATTGGAATAACCCCCTGTATCTTACCGGATCACTATGCTTTAAAGTTAGAATTCAACAACGCAAATTGCAGAAACCCTACAAACTCATGGAAATTGAACAATGCTCAATTGCACCATTCCTGGGTCAAGGAAGAAATAAAGACTTCCTAGAACTAAGTGAGAATGAAGACAAAGCATACCCTATATTTGGTTCTTAACATCTGCATGGCAGTTCCCAGACATCTGGTCAACCAGCCTGGGATACACGAGACAATGTTGGGTTTTTTCTTTGTTTTTTGTGTGTTTGTTTGTTTGTTGTTGTTGTTGTTGTTGTTTTAAGAGCAAGGGACTGGACAGGTACTTGGCTCTGCCTTCTGGAAGCTGTCCCTGGTTGTCATGCAAAGGAGCCTGGTCTCTCATCTTGACGAAATAATTCATCCTCTCTCCCCTCACAAACCTTTCCTACTGCTTCCAAGTCTCTCGACTCAGAATCCATTCCTTCCTCAGTTTCCCCATTTATAAGTTAGAGCCAGCTAAGAACTCTTCCACCCATGACCGAAGAATAGTCTCCATCCTCAGAGTACTTAAGGTCACAGTCTTTTGTTCCAGAATGCAGTGATGCACACAATTTGGGTGAGGGTCTGGGAACATGGCTCAGTTGGTAGTGTGTTTGCCCCGGCTTCCTCCCCAGAGCTGCATAAACTGGGTTTGGTAGTACACACCTGTAACCCTAGCTCTTGGGAGGTGGAACAGGAATTCAAGGTCGTCCTCAGCCACATGGTGCCTCCCAGGTTAACCAGCCTGGGATGCATGAGACCTGTTTAGTTTCTGTGGTGTGTGTTTGTTTAAAAAAGGTAGAGATCCCCAGGAGAGCTGAGGCAAGAGGCTAGCATGGGCTTCCCAGAGGGGTTTCAGGACTTCCAGGACTCAGAGTGAGATATTATCTCAAATCTTTTAAAAATTGGGTGAGCGGGGTTGGTGAGATGACTCAGTGGGTAAAGGTGTTTGACACCAAGTGTGACAACCCAAGTATGGTCCCCAGGACCCACTCACGTGCTGAGAAGAGAGAGCAAGCTTCCACAAGTTGTCCTCTGATGTGCACACAAACGAGAAAATACATTCTTAGATTGGAGCTGGAATTACCATGGCTGCTGTTAAAGGATTTAAAGCGGACTCATTCCAATTAAAAAAAAAAGAAAGTATATTTTTTTTAAGTTCTAAGTGGTTTAGTAGTTAAGAGCATAGGCTGCTCTTCCAAGAGGAACCTATATTTGTTTCCCAACACCTGCATGGCAGTTCCCATCCATCTGGTCAACCAGCTTGGGATACGTGAGACCCTGGTTGTTTGTTTGAGACGAGGTTTCTCTGTGTAGCTTTGGAGCCTATCTTGGAGTTTGTTTCGTAGACAAGTCTGACCTTGAACTCAGAGATCTGCCTGCAGGTACTCTGCCTCCCGAGTGCTGGGATTAAAGGCGTGCGCCACCACTGCCTGACTGAGACCCTGTTTTTAAGAAAAAAACTACATGGAAAAGTTCCAGGAGACCTGATGTCCTTTCTGACCTCCAAGAGCATCAGGCACATACATGGTATTCAGATACACATGTAGGCAAAACACTGATATACTTGCAAGCAAAGCATTCATACACATAAAAAAATTTTAAGACTTACTTTAAAAAGATTATTTTATAAGGGATATGCCTTAGATGGCCTTCCCCCCTTAGCTCTAGATCCCAGGAGGTCCTGCCTCAATAGAGTATCCCTTGGTTCACTTCTCCCTTCCAAGTCCTACCCTGTATGAACTTAATGTCTTGATAGGCCCTGGAAAGAAAACCAAGACTCATCTCCTTAGAACTGGAAACAGTCGTTTTCTTTATTTCTTTTTTATTTTTGAAGGGTGGGGAGGCAAGATTTGGACAAAGGGAGGGTCTGATAGTACCTGAGGCTTTGAACTTGCTATGTAGTTAGGGATGACATTGGGTATCCTCCTGCCTCTACCTCCTGAGGGCTGGGATGGCAGTCATGTGATTACAGGATTTCTGCTGTCCTTCCCATGCGTGGTGGGCTATTGTGGAATACTCCTGCACACTGTGAGAAGACACATCACTGTAATTGGTCTCATAAAAAAGCTAAACGGCCAATGGCTAGGCAGGGTTTTCAGGGCAGAGAGCACGCTGGGAAAAAGGGTGGAGTCTAAAGGAGCCATGGAGCGAGCATGGCGTGTAGGAGCTGACGTAACAAGCCACTAGCCATGTGGCAGCATGTCCATTAATAGAAATGGGTTAATTTAAGTTATAGGAGCTAGTTAGAAACAAGCCTAAGCTACCTGCTGAGCTGTCATAGTAAGTCTCTGTGTGGTGATTTGGGAGCTGGCTGGCGGGAAAGAGGTAGGCAAGTGTGATATCTGCCAGACGGTGTCCCCAGCCCCAGAGTTCTCAGCATCTAAAGAGAAAAGCTGGGTATCCGTGGCCTGTGCTTGTTTCTGGGGAGGGACAGAGCCCTGTTTGAGCATTTACATTTGCTTTCCCACCTGGCTCAGGACAGGCCCCCACTTTTTCTCATTTTGTGTGTCTTCTGCATGGCTGGCCAGCTGTAACTCTGTCAATGCCATGGTCCATCCTTCTTTACTGCCTAGAACTGTCACCTACACTACACACCACACGAACTGCAGTCTGCTTCCAGGTGACCCTCTCTGTGCCTTTCCACGAGCCTGGGGAAGGAGGATTGCCAGTTTTCCCTGGACTGGGTCGAGTGATTTCAAAACCTGCATGGGCCCCTTAAGGACAGCTCACCTTTTGTTGTTGTTTTGGTTTGGTTTTTCAAGACAGGGTTTCCCTCTGTAGCCCTGGCTGTCCTGGAACTCACTCTGTAGGCCAGGCTGCCTCTGCCTCTGCCTCCCAAGTGAGTGCTGGGATTAAAGGCATGTGCTACCTCCAACCAGCTACAGATCTCATCTTAAGCCCTCCCCTCCAAAAATCCAATCTGAGTGTATAGCTGGGTGGTAAAGCAGTTGCCTAGAATCCCCCAGTGAGGAGCTGGGGGTGTGGCTCAGTGGTAGAGCCCCTGCCTAGAATCCCCCAGTGAGGAGCTGGGGGTGTGGCTCAGTGGTAGAGCCCCTGCCTAGAATCCCCCAGTGAGGAGCTGGGGGTGTGGCTCGGTGGTAGAGCCCCTGCCTAGAATCCCCTAGTGAGGAGCTAGGGGTGTGGCTCAGTGGTAGAACCCCTGCCTAGAATCCCCCAGTGAGGGTCTGGGGGTGTGGCTCAGTGGGTAGAAAGATTGCCCGATACACAAAAGGCTGTGGGTTTGATGCCTAGCACTGAAAAAAAAGTATGGGAATATGGCAGTAGAGGGCTTAGCTAGGATGCGTGAAGG